TCTACTCTACTCTACACTACTCTACTCTACTCTACACTACACTACACTACACTACTCTACTCTACTCTACTCTACTCTACTCTACAACTACACTACACTACACTACACTACTCTACTCTACTCTACACTACTCTACTCTACACTACTCTACTCTACTCTACCCTACTCTACACTACAACTACACTACTCTACACTACTCTACACTACTCTACACTACTCTACTCTACTCTACTCTACACTACTCTACTCTACTCTACACTACACTACACTACACTACTCTACTCTACACTACACTTCACTACACTACTCTACTCTACTCTACTCTACTCTACACTACACTACACTACTCTACTCTACACTACTCTACACTACTCTACTCTACTCTACTCTACACTACACTACTCTACACTACTCTACACTACACTACACTACACTACACTACTCTACTCTACACTACACTCCTCACTACACTACTCTACTCTACTCTACTACACTACACTACTCTACTCTACTCTACTCTACTCTACTCTACACTACACTACACTACTCTACTCTACTCTACTCTACTCTACTCTACTCTACTCTACTCTACTCTACACTACTCTACTACTCTACTCTACTACACTACACTACTACACTACACTACACTACCTCTACTCTACTCTACACTACACTACACTACACTACTCTACTCTACTCTACACTACTCTACTCTACTCTACTCTACTCTACTCTACTCTACTCTACTCTACTCTACCCTACTCTACTCTACCCTACTCTACTCTACTCTACTCTACACTACTCTACACTACTCTACTCTACTCTACTCTACTCTACACTACACTACACTACTCTACTCTACTCTACTCTACTCTACTCTACACTACACTACTCTACTCTACTCTACTCTACTCTACTCTACTCTACTCTACTCTACTCTACTCTACTCTACACTACTCTACTCTACTCTACTCTACACTACACTACTCTACTCTACTCTACACTACACTACTCTACTCTACTCTACTCTACTCTACTCTACTCTACTCTACTCTACTCTACTCTACTCTACACTACTCTACTCTACTCTACTCTACACTACTCTACTCTACACTACTCTACTCTACTCTACCCTACTCTACTCTACCCTACTCTACTCTACTCTACTCTACTCTACTCTACTCTACTCTACTCTACTCTACTCTACACTACTCTACTCTACTCTACTCTACACTACACTACTCTACACTACTCTACTCTACTCTACTCTACACTACTCTACTCTACTCTACTCTACTCTACACTACACTACACTACACTACTCTACTCTACTCTACTCTACACTACTCTACACTACTCTACTCTACTCTACACTACACTACACTACTCTACTCTACTCTACTCTACACTACTCTACACTACTCTACTCTACTCTACTACTCTACTCTACTCTACTCTACTCTACACTACTCTACTCTACTCTACTCTACACTACACTACACTACACTACACTACACTACTCTACTCTACTCTACTCTACACTACACTACACTACTCTACTCTACACTACACTACACTACACTACTCTACTCTACTCTACACTACTCTACTCTACTCTACACTACTCTAACTCTACTCTACTCTACACTACACTACACTACACTACTCTACACTACTCTACTCTACTACTCTACTCGCTACTCGAAAGTAATCTACACTAGTCTAACACTACTCTGACTACTCTACACTCTTCCCACTTTGTGGATACACTACACTATTTACACTACTCTACTCTACACTTAACACTACTATGAAGGTATTTAGAATACTTACTAAATAGATTTAACAAAGTTTGTTAAGTTAACAATTCAGGTGGTTTTTCCAACACATTAGAAGGTATATGGTAATTTTCCAGAGGGAGTTTGTTTTAAAAAATTAGGAATAATGCCTTGGGGTTCAAATTAACCTTGCAATTAAGACTGCCAGTTTATACTTAATTATAATTGAGAATCATTTTAGAAGACACTAAAATGTCTGGCGGACCACAATTGGCCCACAGGCCTGGTTTTTGAACACCTGCAGGTCTCCATGAGTTTTCATCTTGATACACAATCATCAAAACACTTAAGTTTATTTGATCTTTAGGATATAGGTTGTTGTTTTACCAACATAGAATAATTAGTTAGTGAGGCCTGACTTATGTGAGAGACTGCACATGTAGGAGAGCAGACAGCAGCAGAATGCACTTATCTGCTCTCCAAGGCCGGAGAGGAGTGTTTTGAAAACTCAAACTGATAACCCATGAGTAAAATTATATGGAGACCATTATTATTATTATTATATAGACTGAGGCTAAGCCCTGGCAGCGCAGACCCAGAGGACAGGCAGGGGGGGGGCAAATAACCCTTTTGCCAAAACATTGTTTCAGAAACGTGACCAACCATGAGGTTGGTCACGTGGCCTCCATGAGGAGGGGTCACATCTCCAAGAGGGAGACACAGAGCGCCATCACGCCTTGGCCACGGGGGTCGAGCCAGAGGAGGGGTCTGAGTCCGGCGAATGCCAGGAGGAGCCCTAACCAAAAGTGCCGGGGGCACCCCACCGCGAGGGTCGACGCCCCATCACGGGTCCAGCCCACCGCAGGTGGACCCCAGCTGCCCAGAGCCAAAGGGGACCAACGAGAAGGGTCTGAGGACCTTCTCCAACGCAAGGATGCAGCAAAGAAGTGGGGGCGGCAGTGCCCGACTTCCAACGCAGAAGTGGAGCCGAAGCAGGAAGGCTTGCTCCCCAACGGCCGAAGGAAGGGACCACCTTGAGGGTCCCCACGACAAAACCTGGTCTGCCTTCTGACCAGGTGTTACACAGACAGAAGCTCTGAGCCATGGGTCAGGTACATTGTTCCCCGCTTTTTTCACGAAGCGGAGTCAGAGACTGGGACAATCGGCTGGTCTGACCTGGAGGCCGGGACGCCCACCCCGAGGATGGGGGTGGACTGAGAGAGGCTATCTCAGCATTGCGTCAAAACGGGCTTTTGAAACTGTTTTGTGTACGTTTCAGGATTAGCACAACTTAGCATTGGTTGTGGTACACATACATGCTAGGGTTTTCAAGCATTGACAATCAGTGCACTAACTCTGATGCTCCCACGCACTCTGACCCCATGTGGAAAGCACAGGAGGTCAGAAAAGTGTGAGGCATCCATGTTTAAGGTTAAGTGTTACAGATCTAATGACAAAGCATTAGACCCAATAGATTGGCTTGGACTTGGAACCATCTTTGGACCAGGTCTATTTTAAATCCACATACTCAGGTTCTACTCTCAGGGAGAGAGAGAGTGCACCCAGCACTGCTGGAGTGTCTACTGTGCGGGCACAGCGTCGATTCTGGGAGAGGTGAGGGTCGGCTGATGACCCATCGGGTCCAGTAACGCCTCGTCTCCCCTGGGCAGACGTCTGTGACCCAGTCAGGGGATTCATCTAAGCAAGTATATAAGTGTGGGTTTTAATATTGTAATGAAGTTAGTTAACTATTGTGTGTGTCTGCTCAAATGTTCAGATTTTGTGTTAATTCATAATCATTGTGATTTCTATTATTATTTTAAAGTTGATTAAGATAAACCAGGGTTTTATATTTATCAAGAGATAGGATTGTTATAGAAATATTTTAGTAAAGCAATCTGAATTAACACCTAATAGTTATGAGTGTAAGTTATTAACTAATAGTCAACTCTGGATTCAGATACAGGCCATAATGCTCTGTTGGCAGCAGGTCGGTGATAGATTGAGACGTGCTGCATCATGTCTTTGACCTTGGTCATAGAACAATATGTTCAGTTCAAAAGCAGATTGTTACATATATCAGAGTTGTATCAGCGTTAGGAGGCGTAAAGAGAAGCCTTGAGCGACACATATCAATGTTGACTTCATTTATGTAATATCTAGAGTAGATATGTGTTTGTTTACTCTGGTCTATTTAATGTACAGTTATTTCCTCAATCGTGGCAGTCGATCCCCAACGGCTGCCAGGTGGTATTGGTATCGGTTCTGTTATTCATTGTAATTGTGCACATTTACTAATGAATAAACTCACACTTTGTTTGGAATTACAGCTCTGAATTGTTTACATTATTTTACTCTTGTTATGTGCAGTAATTCTACAACAAATCCTTCTGTCTGCTCTATGGTAAGAATCCTTCTGCCTGCTCTATGGTAAGAATCCTTCTGCCTGCTCTATGGTAAGAATCCTTCTGTCTGCTCTATGGTAAGAATCCTTCTGTCTGCTCTATGGTAAGAATCCTTCTACCTGCTCTATGGTAAGAATCCTTCTGTCTGCTCTATGGTAAGAATCCTTCTGCCTGCTCTATGGTAAGAATCCTTCTACCTGCTCTATGGTAAGAATCCTTCTACCTGCTCTATGGTAAGAATCCTTCTGCCTGCTCTATGGTAAGAATCCTTCTACCTGCTCTATGGTAAGAATCCTTCTACCTGCTCTATGGTAAGAATCCTTCTGTCTGCTCTATGGTAAGAATCCTTCTACCTGCTCTATGGTAAGAATCCTTCTGCCTGCTCTATGGTAAGAATCCTTCTGCCTGCTCTATGGTAAGAATCCTTCTGTCTGCTCTATGGTAAGAATCCTTCTGCCTGCTCTATGGTAAGAATCCTTCTGTCTGCTCTATGGTAAGAATCCTTCTGCCTGCTCTATGGTAAGAATCCTTCTGTCTGCTCTATGGTAAGAATCCTTCTGCCTGCTCTATGGTAAGAATCCTTCTGCCTGCTCTATGGTAAGAATCCTTCTGCCTGCTCTATGGTGATCATGTCCTTTATTAGTGATGTCATGAAGCAGAACGTTTAACATTTAACGATCTTTGTTCACGTTTCTGTGTTTACTCATGATAATTATGACATTAGCTCATACTTCATGAACTTTTCCACATTTTGTAACGAGCGATCTTGGATGTACGCATTAGAGCAGAAGAGCATCGGGTCGTATAGTGTGAGAACATGAATCGTGAGCTAAGAACTTTTGCACCCTGGGATTTTGTCGTGCAGTTTGAGCTGAAGCCAACGGCAACAATGGAAACTATGGCACAGTGTATTCCCAGCAGAGTAGAGGAGTGTCTTGTCTTTTCTTGCTTGCCTGGTTCACACTGGGGACCTTTGCAAGTGTATTCCAATGTGGTTTTACTGCAAATGGCAAATTAAATGACTCTGAATCTCTGAATCTGCAGCTGTAAAAGTATACAGCCTATATATAAAATGATTTCCCAATCGTTAAACTCTCTGAGCACTGTTTAATTCATCATCCAGCAATGGAAAGGCACAACTGCAAATCTACCAAGACACTGCTGGACGGAGGGAAAGTGGCCAGTAGACAATCTGTACATGGGGAAAATATTAGTCATACACTACAAAAATCTGACCTTTATAGACGAGTAGTGAATTGGAAGTCTTTGTGTAAATAAATAAACAAGAAGCAAAGCGGGACGTAATCAACTTGTGGAAAAAGGTGCTGTGACCTGATGCTGTGAGTGATGAAAACTTCTCTTTCCTCCCTCCGCTCACTCTAACCCATTGTCAAAGCTGGTGGTGGTAGTATCATGCTGTGGGATGCTTTTCTGTGTCAGAGTTGATAGTTCAAAAGCTGCACACAAACAATTTGAATCCATCCTAAACACACTAACCTCTGTCTTTCCCAATCCAGGCTCCGCCCTCGTGCACTGTGTTATTGTGTACAAATATATAAACTTAGAGAAGACCTGGGATGATGCTCGTCAGTACTGCAGGGAGCACCACAAGGACCTGGCCACGGTGGAAAACACAGAAGAAGTGAAGAAGTTACCGATACCTTCTGGACACACCGCCTGGATCGGACTGTTTGAGGACCCCGCCTCCTGGAAGCAGATGACCTCTGAGTCCAACTCCTGGAGATGGTCTTCCATTGGGACCACCAGCCCGGGACAGTACCAGAACTGGTACCCTGGTGACCCCCAGAACGCCGGTGGAAAACAACTGTGTCTTCATGAGTAATGGTTTCTGGTTCGATCAATACTGTACCTCTACATATCACTTTGTTTGTTACCGAGGTGAGATTTGTTTGTCTGTATTTGTTTGGTTATTTGTATTTGTAACTCTGACACTCACCTTTACTTCATCAGTCCAACCATCGGGCCTTAAAGAGTACTTCCTGATCGAAATTGGGAAGACCAGGTCTGACTCCCAGTCCTACTGCAGACAGAAGTATCAGGACCTGGCCACGATCCAGACTCCTTCTGAAAACCAGGCAGTGAAGGATCTTCTCCCCTCCTCAACATCCATAGTCTGGATCGGCCTGTACCGGGTCTCCTGGAGGTGGTCCGACGGCAGCCCCAGTACCTTCAGGAGTTGGTCACCAGCAAATCCAAGTAATTCAGGAGGATCAGAGTACTGTGCTACTCAGTCTGGATCCTATGTTTGGAATGACGCTCCGAGTTACTATAAGTATAAGTTTATCTGCCAAGAAGGTAAGGTCTCACCGCTAATGTCCACAGGAGGCGCTACAGCGCGTAAGCGTTGTACGCACAGCAGACGCCCGTAAAACGTTTCCATGTTAACCAATAGTGATATGTACACATTTACATTTAGTGTTATACGCGCCTATGGCGGCCGTATGACGGACGTAGTGACGCGAGGCTGCACTTAAATTAGGATGAATTTCTAATTCTGTGCGCGCAACAACGCGTCTCCAGTCAAAACACATGAAACATGATTTTTCTAGCGGTCCTTGGCTCTAAATCGCAGGAGCAGCAGGTTTTACAGTGATTCTGGACATTGTTTTTTTTCTTTCATAAAGTCTGGCGTTTGGCCAAACCAGCAACAGAGACCATGAAGACAAACACATACATGTGACCATGAAGACAAACAGATACATGTGACCATGAAGACAAACACATGTGATTTGTGTTGCTCTACATCAGTCCTCTGTACTGTCCTCTACACTGCTCCACAGACTACACAGAGACAGCATCAGAAGCCACAGACCTGTGCACGGTCAGTGGACATACAGCCGAGTAATGTTACGCACATCTGTGCACTGTCAACGCGCTGTAGCGCCTCCTGTGGACAGTCGCTGTCAGAGTCAATATTTGTCAACACTGTTAAACTTGGCTCAGGATTCACAGTATTTTTGTTCTTTTTTAACACTTACAGATGCGATTTCAAGGACTCAGATTAAGATCACGCTCAGGACGACAGCGAACATGTCCGAGAAGGAGATCATCGACACCTTTTTACAAGCAGTAAGTTCACAAAGGTTCAGTGTGAGTCAGAACTGTGATATATGTTCATGCGACATCACCACCTCCTTACAGCTCGGAGACGGCCTCGGCCTGGGGTTCTCAGTGAGGTGGCACCGTCTGCCCACAAGAAGCAAGTGATGTCACAGCACAAAGGGACTATCCATCTCTGGAGCAAAGCTGTGAAGGAACTTTTTCCATGTTTGGGGCCCTTTAACTGAACCACAAAAGAAGTCACTGCAAAAGTGATGAGAAAAAAGGATAAAATCACTCAGATTTTCCAATGGGACAAAGAAAAATGATCCTGTTTTAAAAAGATGCAAGAAAAATGTCCCTTTGGAAAATCTGGTTTTAACTCAGTCACAATGTGTAATCTGTCATCATTCAAGTGCCCTAATCTGTCATCATTGAAGGGCCCTAATCTGTCATCATTAAAGGGCCCTAATCTGTCCTCATTAAAGGGCCCTAAACTGTCATCATTAAAGGGTCCTAATCTGTCATCGTTAAAGGGCCCTAATCTGTCCTCATTAAAGGGCCCTAATCTGTCATCATTAAAGGGTCCTAATCTTTCATCATTAAAGGGCCCTAATCTGTCATCATTAAAGGGTCCTAATCTGTCATTATTAAAGGTTCCTAATCTGTCATAATTAAATGGCCCTAATCTGTCCTCATTAAAGGGCCCTAATCTGTCATCATTAAAGGGCCCTAATCTGTCATCATTAACGGGCCCTAATCTGTCATCATTAAAAGGCCCTAATCTGTCATCATTCAAGGGCCCTAATCTGTCATCATTAAAGGGTCCTAATCTGTCATCATTCAAGGGCCCTAATCTGTCATCATTAAAGGGCCCTAATCTGTAATCATTAAAGGGCCCTAATCTGTAATAATTAAAGGGCCCTAATCTGTCATCATTAAAGGGCTCTAATCTGTCATCATTGAAGGGTCCTAATCTGTCATTATTAAAGGTTCCTAATCTGTCATCATTAAATGGCCCTAATCTGTCCTCATTAAAAGGCCCTAATCTGTCATCATTAAAGGGCCCTAATCTGTCATCATTAAAGGGCCCTAATCTGTCATCATTAAAAGGCCCTAATCTGTCATCATTCAAGGGCCCTAATCTGTCATCATTAAAGGGTCCTAATCTTTCATAATTAAAGGGCCCTAATCTGTCATCATTCAAGTGCCCTAATCTGTCATCATTAAAGGGTCCTAATCTGTCATCATTAAAGGGCCCTAATCTGTCATCATTAAAGGGCCCTAATCTGTCATAATTAAATGGCCCTAATCTGTCATCATTAAAGGGCCCTAATCTGTCATCATTAAAGAGTCCTAATCTGTCATCATTAAAGGGTCCTAATCTTTCATCATTAAAGGGCCCTAATCTGTCATCATTCAAGTGCCCTAATCTGTCATCATTAAAGGGTCCTAATCTGTCATCATTAAAGGGCCCTAATCTGTCATCATTAAAGGGCCCTAATCTGTCATCATTAAAGGGCCCTAATCTGTCATCATTAACGGGCCCTAATCTGTCATCATTAAAAGGCCCTAATCTGTCATAATTCAAGGGCCCTAATCTGTCATCATTAAAGGGTCCTAATCTTTCATCATTAAAGGGCCCTAATCTGTCATCATTCAAGGGCCCTAATCTGTCATCATTAAAGGGTCCTAATCTGTCATCATTCAAGGGCCCTAATCTGTCATCATTAAAGGGCCCTAATCTGTAATCATTAAAGGGCCCTAATCTGTAATCATTAAAGGGCCCTAATCTGTCATCATTAAAGGGCTCTAATCTGTCATTATTAAAGGGTCCTAATCTGTCATTATTAAAGGTTCCTAATCTGTCATCATTAAATGGCCCTAATCTGTCCTCATTAAAAGGCCCTAATCTGTCATCATTAAAGGGCCCTAATCTGTCATCATTAAAGGGCCCTAATCTGTCATCATTAAAAGGCCCTAATCTGTCATCATTCAAGGGCCCTAATCTGTCATCATTAAAGGGTCCTAATCTTTCATCATTAAAGGGCCCTAATCTGTCATCATTAAAAGGCCCTAATCTGTCATCATTAAAGGGCCCTAATCTGTCATCATTAAAGGGCCCTAATCTGTCATCATTAAAAGGCCCTAATCTGTCATCATTCAAGGGCCCTAATCTGTCATCATTAAAGGGTCCTAAACTTTCATCATTAAAGGGCCCTAATCTGTCATCATTCAAGTGCCCTAATCTGTCATCATTAAAGGGTCCTAATCTGTCATCATTAAAGGGCCCTAATCTGTCATCATTAAAGGGCCCTAATCTGTCATCATTAAAGGGTCCTAATCTTTCATCATTAAAGGGCCCTAATCTGTCATCATTCAAGTGCCCTAATCTGTCATCATTAAAGGGTCCTAATCTGTCATCATTAAAGGGCCCTAATCTGTCATCATTAAAGGGCCCTAATCTGTCATAATTAAATGGCCCTAATCTGTCATCATTAAAGGGCCCTAATCTGTCATCATTAAAGGGTCCTAATCTGTCATCATTAAAGGGTCCTAATCTTTCATCATTAAAGGGCCCTAATCTGTCATCATTCAAGTGCCCTAATCTGTCATCATTAAAGGGTCCTAATCTGTCATCATTAAAGGGTCCTAATCTGTCATCATTAAAGGGTCCTAATCTTTCATCATTAAAGGGCCCTAATCTGTCATCATTCAAGTGCCCTAATCTGTCATCATTAAAGGGTCCTAATCTGTCATCATTAAATGGCCCTAATCTGTCCTCATTAAAAGGCCCTAATCTGTCATCATTAAAGGGCCCTAATCTGTCATCATTAAAGGGCCCTAATCTGTCATCATTAAAAGGCCCTAATCTGTCATCATTCAAGGGCCCTAATCTGTCATCATTAAAGGGTCCTAATCTTTCATCATTAAAGGGCCCTAATCTGTCATCATTCAAGTGCCCTAATCTGTCATCATTAAAGGGTCCTAATCTGTCATCATTAAAGGGCCCTAATCTGTCATCATTAAATGGCCCTAATCTGTCATCATTAAATGGCCCTAATCTCTCATCATTAAAGGGCCCTAATCTGTCATCATTAAAGGGTCCTAATCTGTCATCATTAAAGGGTCCTAATCTTTCATCATTAAAGGGCCCTAATCTGTCATCATTCAAGTGCCCTAATCTGTCATCATTAAAGGGTCCTAATCTGTCATCATTAAAGGGCCCTAATCTGTCATCATTAAAGGGCCCTAATCTGTCATAATTAAAGGGCCCTAATCTGTAATCATTAAAGGGCCCTAATCTGTCATAATTAAAGGGCCCTAATCTGTAATCATTAAAGGGCCCTAATATGTCATAATTAAATGGCCCTAATCTGTCATCATTAAAGGGCCCTAATCTGTCATAATTAAAGGGCCCTAATCCGTCATCATTAAAGGGTCCTAATCTGTCATCATTAAAGGTTCCTAATCTGTCATCATTGAAGGGCCCTAATCTGTCATCATTAAAGGGCCCTAATCTGTCCTCATTAAAGGGCCATAATCTGTCATGATTAAAGGGCTCTAATCTGTCATCATTAAAGGGCTCTACTCTGTCCTCATTAAAGGGCCCTAATCTGTCATCATTAAAAGGCCATAATCTGTCATCATTCAAGGGCCCTAATCTGTCATCATTAAAGGGCTCTAATCTGTCATCATTAAAGGGGTCTAATCTGTCCTCATTAAATGGCCCTAATCTGTCATCATTAAATGGCCCTAATCTGTCATCATTAAAGGGCCCTAATCTGTCCTCATTAAAGGGCCCTAATCTGTAATCATTAAAGGGCCCTAATCTGTCGTCATTAAAGGGCCCTAATCTGTCATCATTAAAGGGCTCTAATCTGTCATCATTAAAGGGGTCTAATCTGTCCTCATTAATGAGCCCTAATCTGTCATCATTAAAGGGCCCTAATCTGTCCTTATTAAAGGGCCCTAATCTGTCCTCATTAAAGGGCCCTAATCTGTCATTATTAAAGGGCCCTAATCTGTCCTAGTAGGTAGTAAGTAAGTAATGTTTATTTATATACCGCCTTTCACAGACAAGGGTCACAAAGCGGTACAAGCGGTTATGAGCGGTCCTCATTAAAGGGCCCTAATCTGTCATCATTAAAGGGCCCTAATCTGTCGTCATTAAAGGGCCCTAATCTGTCATCATTAATGGGCCCGAACCATCCTCTCCCTTCCTCCTCCCCCTCCTCCCCTTCCTCCCCCTTTCTCCTCTCCCTTCATCCTCTCCCATCTCCCCCTTCCTCCTCTCCCTTCCTCCTCCTCCAACTCCCCCTCTTCTCCGTGACTCCTACCCCATTTCCCCCTCCTCTCCCTTTCTCCTCAACCTCCCCCTTCCTCCTCCCCCACCTCCCCTTCCTCCTCCTTTGTCCTCTCCCTTCGTCCTCTCCTACCTCCCCCTTTGTCCTCCCCCACCTCCCCTTCCTCCTCCTTTCTCCTCTCCCTTCGTCCTCTCCCTTCCTCCTCCCCCACCTCCTCCTTTCTCCTCTCCCTTCGTCCTCTCCTACCTCCCCCTTCGTCCTCTCCCTTCCTCCTCCCCCACCTCCTCCTTTCTCCTCTCCCTTCGTCCTCTCCTACCTCCCCCTTCCTCCTCCCCCACCTCCCCCTCCTCCCCCTTCCACCTCCCCCTCCCCCATCCTTTGCTAAATCTACAAATACTCGTACATTGCACTTACATAGAAATAAAGAGGATACAGATGATTGTGACGCCTTTAGCTCCTGAGATGTGTTACTGATGCAGTCCACCTGCTGGAGCTCAGCCTGAAGCACACTGTGTGACGTCTGAGGCTGAGCAGATGGAGACGATGTGGTTATGATCCGGACTGAGCAGAACGTCTGTGTTCACGGCCCCTTCAGTCACCATCACATGTTTATGAAATGTTTTATTAGATTATTATGGTTTGACATTGTGCTGTTTTTTCTTCCTGTAATTCTCCAACAGAGAACGCAGCACTTTGATCTGTGGTTTTTTAATCATTTAATCCAGGGGTGGCCAACCAGTCAGAGACTAAGAGCCAATTTTTTTTACCGTGTTAAGCAAAGAGCCACATCATACAAATGTGCACTACATAAACATCACCCCAACCCTTACACACGCACACACACGAGCAGACACACACACGCACGTACGCACGCACGCACGCACGCACGCACACACACACACGCAATCTGTCTGAGCAGAGAGAGGTGTGCTCTGCTCAGACAGATTTATTGTAAATGTCATCAACATGATAATGACAGAAATGGACTCGTACAGCACTAAATGGCTGGACTGAACTCTCCCCGGTTTGTGGGCGCTTCTACCGCTCGCTTCAACCGCTCCCCGGTACTTTTTATTATGGTTTGGCCCTGGTTCTAACTGGGCGAGTCGATACCAGAACAATCTCACCTCAGCGAACATCAATTATGATTCCGAAATGAACGCTTTCAATCTCTAACCAAGAAAAAAAATCAAGTTTCAATCCAGTGTTCAGCAGAAACACAACTGTCTTTATCGAACCATGATTCACTCTGACTGCATTTAGTAAAAGATATAGATTTGACACATAACACCAACACCACTTTAGCTGATTTAGAACCACAGACACATGTTCAGTGTAAGACCAGATACTTTTGCATTTGATTGAAGACAGACACTCACCAGGCAGAGTTGGCTTATCTCCTGGTGTAGCTGGTGCTAGCTGGTTTTAGCATGTTAGCCGGTGTTAGCCGATGTCCGTAAATTTAATCCATTTGGTCAAACCACCTCCAGACTTTTCGGGTCTGCCTCTACTTCTGCTGCTGTAATCTTTCATTTCACGGTTGTCACTTTTAAGCTTTTTAACTTTTCTCTGCATTGTCATGTTTGTGGGAATCATTCTGCTCCGTCCTTAGTGCTAGCTCCACAAACACCTTCTAGTTTCTGGTGGAACCATCGAGCTCACGCTGGTGTCCTCTCCTCAAACTGAGGAAGGTGTTGCCATCATCCAGCGACCAAGGAGCTGTTTTCCGTACGGACGTCATGGGTCGAGGCAACATGTTGTTTGTTATGATATTTGCAACAGCTGAGGCAGCGGCTGCAGAGTGATTGACAGCGCATCTGGCCAATCAGAATTGACGTTCGCCGACGTCAGATTGTTTTGGTGGCCTGGCTAGTGGAGTGAAGTCGGCCTTTGCTATGGGTCAGAACTACATTGGGAATGTAGCCACCGACGCATTTTTGACGCTTGTCGTGTGAAAGCCCGAGAGCCGCACGGAACCAGCCAAAGAGCCGCATGCGGCTCACGAGCCGCGGGTTGGCCACCCCTGATTTAATCATTCGTTCAAAATAAAACACTTTATCGTCTCGTCTTTCGACAACGCTGCCCTTTTCTTCTTTTGTTTGTTTGAACTTATTTTGTTGTTTCTTTGGAAAGTTGATTCTAAAGAATGTTTTATAACTTTGCTGATTGTAAACGCATCTAAGAGGAAGAAAGGCTGTAGACCCAGGACTGAGGCTGTAGACCCAGGACTGAGGCTGTAGACCCAGGACTGAGGCTGTAGACCCAGGACTGAGGCTGTAGACCCAGGACTGAGGCTGTAGACCCAGGACTGAGGCTGTGGACCCAGGACTGAGGCTGTAGACCCAGGACTGAGGCTGTAGACCCAGGACTGAGGCTGTAGACCCAGGACTGAGGCTGTAGACCCAGGACTGAGGCTGCAGACCCAGGACTGAGGCTGCAGACCCAGGACTGAGGCTGCAGACCCAGGACTGAGGCTGTAGATCCAGGACTGAGAGACTGTAGACCCAGGACTGAGGCTGTAGACCCAGGACTGAGGCTGTAGACCCAGGACTGAGGCTGTAGACCCAGGACTGAGGCTGTAGACCCAGGACTGAGGCTGTAGATCCAGGACTGAGACTGTAGACACAGGACTGAGGCTGTAGACCCAGGACTGAGGCTGTAGACCCAGGACTGAGACTGCAGACCCAGGACTGAGGCTGTTCCGGCCCCACTCTGCGCAGTGGACGAGCTCCCATGATGCATTGCGTGCACAGAGGGGCACAGCGCGTCCTGACCAATCAGACGCTGCTGATGAGAGCAGGAGACAATAGAGCAGAGTTTGTACCATAAAAGTGTGGATTTAAAGAAAAGGGTTTAAGAAGAAAAAAGTGCAGGTTCTCTGTCAGGTTCTCTGTCAGCTGAGGTCCAACTGTTTTAGTTTGCATTGAGGTCTATGGGGAAATTTCTGGGTAGTTTAGTCTGGTTTAGTCTGGTTTAGTCTGGTTTAGGGTGTATTCAGACCTGCACATTTGGTCCACTTTAAACGGACCAGGATTCGTTTGGAACTCTGATGCGGACGTTTTAAGCAGATCTGAATACACACAAACAAATCCTGGTCCGGACCAAACGAACTCTGGTCCGAGTCGATTCAGGTCTGAATAGAACTGATGTCGATCCGACACAACTCCAGGATACGTGTGCATTTTTTCGTCTTAACCAGCCGCAGACAGGAACTGTGAAGAATTAGCCACACGTCACAGATGCTAACGCTACAACAACAATGAGCCGTGGGGAGACCTGGAGAAACAGGAGACACTGTGCCTTCTTGAAATGTGGGCAGAGGCACAGATAACCCAACTTTTGGAAGACACACAAAAATGCGGTGGTTTTGCTCTAAAAAGAGCAAACAGGCAGAGCAGACTGCGGCACGTACGATATCAATGTTTTCCTCCATTTGCGCATCTACTCTCTGTGAGCTCTCGCTGTCCAATAGGAGCGCCGATCGTCACACGCATCCATATGTTTATAAAAAAAGTTCACTTGCAAAAAGTACAGTCTGAACACAAACCGAAGCAAAAGAAAAATGTCTGGTCCTTTTGGTTCGGACCAAGCAAACGGACCAGAGGACTTTTCTGGTCTGAATTCACTGGTTTAGTCTTGTTTAGTCTGCAGTACCGGGAGAATCCACCGAGCACATGGGTCCTTCAGCTCCAAGCTGTAACACCCTATTGTTATGGCTTGGCGCTGAGCCACAACAAGAATAGGGGAGATGAGGCGGAATTAAGTGCTCACAAAGTATATTTAATTGAGTAAACGGAATAACAGATATTAATATATACAAAAAGGTAAAGTATGGGGTGTGTTGTCTAGAAGTCAGTGGTGTAGGTGCAGGTGATGCTTGTGTGCAGTGAGGGCGTCGTATGTGTGATGTGAATCTGGGTGCATAAAACAAAAGACAAACTTAATAGTGCATGTGGAAGGAGAGCCAGGGAGGAGATGCTTCCAGCACCAGGGCAGGTGTAGAATGGCCCTCAGGAGCGCGCAGAGAGAGAGCGCGTGCACGTTGCCTCCAGGCTATATGCGCGTGCGCTGATTGCATGCGCGAACACGGCCTAACTTACACGTCCACTGCTTCAGCGCCAATCGGTCCCCCTGGGCAGACAAGAGAGGAGCGGCAGGATGGAGAAATGTGCCAGTCTCAGGACCCCCATAAGGGCCTAGTCCGTAACACTATCCAGATATTATAATAGATCCATGGTTTGTCCCAATATTTTGGACCTTCAAAAAGTGAGAGGACCAAAAGTTTGGACACCTTCTCATTCAAGGAGATGTTTATTTTGATGATTATAAAACTGCAGACTGACACTGAGGGCATCAAACCTATGATGAACTCATGTGAATGATGTCCGTAGTAAAAAAGTATGAACCAAGTGTAAATATGTGTTATATTCTGGTTCTTCAAAGTAGCTCCTTTTGCTCTGATACTGCTTCACTCTTGGCATTCTCTGGATGAGCTTCAACAGGACCTGAAATGGTCTCCAACAGTCTGAAAGGAGTTCCCATGATGCTTAGCACTTGTTGGCCCCTTCACTCTGTGGTCCAGCCCCAAAACCATCTGGACTGGGTTCAGGTCCGGGCTCTCTCCTTATTGGTCAAACAGCCCTTACACAGCCTGGTGCGGGTCTACAGCAATAGTCATGAAAAGAACTCAGTGAAGGAGTACCACCTCCTGCAGGAGGACCAGGACCAGCACCTGCAGGAGGACCAGGACCAGCACCTGCAGGAGGACCAGGACCAGCACCTGCAGGAGGACCAGGACCAGCACCTGCAGGAGGACCAGGACCAGCACCAGCAAGAGGACCAGAGAGCGGCTGGTGCTCTGAGGTCTGAGTGGCAGCTTTTAACAAAATAAGAAATAAATGATGAACCATCATTAAGTGCATTACGAGTAAAGATAACCTGGATTTGAGCATTGTCAGAGAAGAAGAAGCCTGTCTCACATTTTCAGGAAGACTCTTCCAGATTTTCACTGCATCCGAGTTCATATGGAACTATCTGTACTTTGGTACTTTACCAAAATAGTTTTTGTTCATTAAAGTCAGATCTATTTTAGTTTCATAAACAAAGTCAGATTTTCTGCCAAAAACTGCAGCAAAAGAACAAATGTTTTTGACACGTCTTTAAAACGGAGAAATGTGTTTTGAAAATGAACTCTTGTGTTTCTGCGACAGTGAACTGCAGCGGCTCGTCTTTAGTTTGATTTGGACAAATGTGAGATCATGAATCATTAGTTAATCATAAAACACTTGTCTCTGTTTGAACTTATCGTTTCAAGGTCTGCACGTGCTTTTGTTGTCGTTTCTTTGCCAAAAGGAAAGTGGCTTCAAAGACATGTTTTATTACTTTGCTGATTGCAAACGCAGCGATGAGGAAGAAAGTCACGGAAACAACTTCTTACCTCCTCAGTTTATTCACAAACATAAGATAAACATTTACAGCAACAGTTATCTTCAGTTCATTCAACGTCTTTCACATTGCCTGATCAAGTGTCTCTGCCGGGGCTTGGTGCTGAATGAAAACAAATCTATTTTATATATCTCCTGTTTCTGTCTAGTCTCTCCAGACTGAATCTCTCTGATCAGAAAATGAAAATATAATGAACAATGCTAACTGAATAGGAAACAGGAAGAACATAAACACAGAGATGGATACAAGAGGCAAGATTAGGAAGTACAGACCCTCAACAGAGGCGAGGGGCCTTCACCTCGACTCACACTTGGGACTCATTTCACTGCAGACCAGAGGGGCCGGGTCAGTCTGAAGGACCTGTTAGATCTGTCCGTCTGCATCCAGTAACAACAGCTGATCAGACACGTCACACCATCATGAGTCTCCTCTGAGGAAGAAGGAAGTCTAGCTCTCAAACAACTCAGGTTTGTCTGATTAAAATAAATGTTGTAAGTTTGTCTCAGTCTTTTGGACCTTCATAAAGTGGGAGGACATACATCCACCTGTGCTGGGACAGTCTCACAGATGTAGAGGCTGTCACTGATGATTGGGGTCATATCATGTTTTGAAACCAGATTATCTTACTCAGGGGTTTTCCAACGACTCTTATAAAGGCGTGTGCACATGAGAGATAAAGCAGGAAGTCTACCGAGTCCTGCTAAGTCATAGAGGTGGATCTGTTCCTATAAAAGCGTGAGGAGCTGGTTGGACTCATAGTTGTCGACACAATGGAAAGTGTGAGTGTGTGGTGTGCACTGCTGCTCTGCTCTCTGTCAGGAGCTGAACTTGGTGCACAATGAGCTCAGTGCTCAAGACAGTCCCAGTCTGAGAGTAGTGAAGGCCCTCAGAGCAGCCTCAGCCTGTCCATCAGACCTCCACGCTGTGTGCGAGAGATGAGCGCCGCGTTGGCCGAACAGAGAGTCAGGATCCAGCAGCTGCAGGATCACAACCAAGGTCAGTAACACATTATTACATTTTATTGACAAATTTCACATTATCTTTGTCAGACTCCACGACTGTAAACAAATGGACAATGCTGACCAACTTGCTTAATGGAGCCCAGTAGAGAAGTGCTCATGGACAAAGTGTTGCTCCAACTCTCTCTGACTCCTATTCACTTACATGTAAAAGTAAACTCCTCTCGCTCAGTAACAGTTTGTGTCAAACGCTCCATTTTGGGATGAAATAATCTGTGTTTTATCGCTCTCTCTGATCCTGGTGTTTATGTGTTGGTGCTGTCTTTGTAAATCCAGATATGAGCCAAGTAAGAATTGACCAATCAGATATCGTCATTCACAAGGGAAACTCCAGCTTGCCTTAGCAACCACCACCAGAGCATGAAGCTAACACTGTCAGAACAAATGCCCATATAAGGAAACATGTGGGGAATAACAGTATGAACGGGATGAGGGGGCTTCTCTGTCGCACAATTGGACACTTCTCACAGACCAGGGGCAGACACTTCCTGAGTAGGCGTGGCCTGATTGACCACGCCTACTCAGGAAGTAACATCAGCTGATAAACGACACGTCACTAAGGCAAGGGGACATTTATATTTAAAGACATTTATATTTTTGTACAGTCCTAAATCACAACAGTAGGTATCTCAGAGGACCATTCTCCAACACAGATCAGAGAATCAAACAGTTCAAACTCAGGTATTGCAACAATAACAAACACACAGAGACATTGGTTCATTCACAGTTCATCCATTCATAGATCCACAGTTCTAAATATGACTGCAGACAAAATATGTTACAAGGAAATAGATCTGACTTTGAAAATAACCAATAAAACCAACACTACCTCCTCGTTTCTGTGATGACTTGGTGTGTACGGATCATGAACAGTCTCTTTCCTTTTCTTCCAATACTTTACAAGTTGATCTGAGTCTCATTGTCCAGAAGATGTTGTTCGCGATCTGTAAAGACTCTGTAGATCTTCTTTGGTCAGCTCTAACAGGTGCTAGTGAGCTGACTCTTGTCTTTGCAGACTTCTTTACCCTCTTGACAGTTGCCCATCGGTTGCTTCAGTTCCTCATTGTCCTGTCCAAGAAGACACGATACTGGACTTAAAGATACAGATCTGTGGCAACTAACATTGTAGTCATGAAGTCCATTTGAGTGCTGGTCTGTACCACTCAAGTCTTCATCCTCTCCTGGACCCTGCAGGTTACTCTCTCTGGACCTCTGAAGTTCACTCTCCCCTGGACTCTGCAGTTCTCCAACGAGGAACAGATTGTAGACGACACCATAATCTGTAGCTCTGGATCATGAACTTACTCAGGGTCTGTTGTGGACTTCAGTTCTTACATCCTGTCAGGACAAGTCTCCAGCTCAACGTGCGAATCAGTGCGGTGGATCAGTGCCTTCTGACGAACGGAAGCAGCGGAGTGGTTGGGGAAGAATGTCTCGGACTCTTGATTATAATCAAGGAGCACACAGCCACAGCTACAGCAACCATGCCTCCAGCCGATCGTGAAGTGATCAAGTTGCGGACGACAACTATTGGATCATCTCACAACGATGAGTCGCCTACAGGAGGGAGGTGGACGGCTGGTGTCTGGTGCAGTGGTAACAACTGGAGTGAACGCAGAAGACAGTGGAGATGATTGTGGACTTCAGGAAGAGCATGTCCCCCGCCACCTCGTGATGGCATCCCATCACCTTGTGGAGTCTTCGTTTCTGGGCACCCATCACCAGGACTCAAGTGGGAGCCGACATCAGCTCTCATCAGTTCTTGGGGAGTCAAGAGTTCATGCATCCATAAACAAGTACATGTGACATCTCAATGACATCTTTAATCATCTTTTATCGATGCAAAACAAGGGTCAAGGTTCATTTTTATGATTTGTTTTGCAACAGTGCGCTCTCAAGGGTTCATAACGACTTTATCAAGGCGTGTGCAGTGCGAGATAAAGCAGAAGTCTACACGAGTCTGTACGTATAGAGGTGGCTCTGTTCCTATAAACGCGTGAGGAGTGGTCTGGATCATAGTTGTCGAACAATGGAAAGTGTGAGTGTTTGTGAAGTGTGGTGTGCACTGCTGCTTGCTTCTGTAGGAGCTGAACTTGTGCACAGTGAGCTCAGTGCTCAAAGACAGTAGTCCTGAGAGTGTGAAGGCCTCAGAGCAGCCTCAGCCTGTCCATAGACCTCCACGCTGTGCTGCGAGAGATGAGCGCCGCGTTGGGACCGAAAGAGAGTCAGGATCCAGCACGCTGCAGGCTCACAACGAGGTAAGATCTCTCTCTAAACATTACTTCATTGTGGTGTTCACTGAATCGGACCGGAGCGAGGCTGCCCGCGTCAACAAAATAAGGTAACTATTATAATATAAATAAGTATTAATTCTCATTACAGTGTTGTCTGCTTTGCTATATGAGCCGTGCAGTGATTAACACGATAAAAGAGGTTTGTGGGAGTCACTTGTTCGTTTTTATGTTAGCTTTCTATTGTGGCTAAGGAGCGAGCTTGTGCTAACGGTCTGTGCTAAACGTAACGTTACTACATTTGATATTAATTGGTGGGCTTGTTTAAATGGATCATACAAGATGCCAGCGTGACTATTCTTTGTTCCTTGTGGGCTGAAACTGGCATTAAAGTGGCGCAACACGTCGGCTATCTGGCGCTCATTGGGCTACTAGCCACGCTAGCCTTGACATCGCTCTCGTCTAACTTGTTAGTTAACCCTAACCAGACGAAGTGAGTAGCTGTGGTTAACACTTAACGATGTAATCGATCAAGATATGTGGGGATAACTGATCTGACAGATCATTTATCAATAATTGCGCGAAGTTGACCCCCGCTTTCGTAGCTCTGTTTTTCCAGGTTAGCCACTCGGATGTGGTAGTGCTAACCCAAAGCATCCAATAGATTCATGGTGCGGGCACACAGTTTAGAAATGCTCATAAGAGGACCGTAAATGTGAAATGGCCAATGCTGGCTTTATATGTGATATTTGAGGTGAGTGCGGTGTTCACCCTGTCATGGAAGCAGGAGGCTAGCGTTGAGTTTGAGGGCTGCTGCGGAAGCACGAGTAAACTGAGCCGTTTTATTGCATACAAGATATACTTATGGTAATTAATTCTTGCTCGCGTAGTTGATTATTGCTTACATTTTCCACTAGTCTTGTAAATTTTAACGAGCCTTTTTTAAAATATTTTAGATAACCCGTGTTTATGAATTTCATGATCTGTAATTTAAATAGCTATAATACATACATTATAATTTAGCATTTGTTTAAAGATGCTTAATTTGGCGGTGTGTGCAGTTTGACAGGTAATAATATATACATATTTTTTTTATTTTGTTCTTTTTTTCCCTGTCAGATGGAGGAGAATCCCAGATCTCTTGTGACTATTGTGCTGGATGACAAAGAGATTGCCAAAAGAGTTTACCATCTCAACACAATTAAAGAACTGATTGATAAAAGCACAAGCTTTTTAACAGACAAAGCCGACTTTCATTCTGTTCAAATATACAGTGAAGATTTTAAGGAATTTATTGATGCGGATGTCAATGTACTTGTCCAGAACCTTGACAAATACAGAATTTCATTTAAATCATACACTTCGGAATATCAGGTTTGTAATGTTCAACTATTGGTAATATTTTTTATTTCTTATTGTAACCTCAACTTTTATCTGTTTACTGTTTTTCCTTCCTAAGAACCAGCCCTCGGGTTCAACTTCAATTGGAGCCATTGCTTCATCTACAGTTGGACTGTCAGAGGTATGTCATTTGTTTACATGTTTTACATTATATTGTATATTGTATATTATATTGTATATTGACAGAATCTCTAGGCGCAGCCAGGGGCCGGAGGGGGTCCGGTTCGGGAACCACAGGATTTCATCTCTACTTTTTGCGGATGATGTCGTCCTGCTGGCTCCAACGAACCAGGACCTGCAACATGCACTGGGACGGTTTGCAGCCGAGTGTGAAGCGGCTGGGATGAGAATCAGCACCTCCAAATCCGAGGCCATGGTGCTTGACCGGAAAAAGGTGCCTTGCCCTCTCCAGGTGGGTGGAGAGGTCCTTCCTCAAGTGGAGGAGTTCAAGTATCTCGGGGTCTTGTTCACGAGTGAGGGGAGGATGGAGCGTGAGATTGACAGGCGGATCGGTGCAGCGTGCGCAGTGATGCGGTCTCTGTATCGGACCGTTGTGGTAAAGAGGGAGCTGAGCCGAAAGGCAAAGCTCTCAATTTACCGGTCAATCTTCGTTCCCTCCCTCACCTATGGTCATGAGCTGTGGGTAATGACCGAAAGAACGAGATCGCGGATACAAGCGGTCAAAATGAGCTTCCTCCGCAGAGTGGCTGGGCGCTCCCTTAGAGATAGGGTGAGGAGCTCGGTCACACGGGAGGAGCTCGGAGTAGAGCCGCTGCTTCTCCACGTCGAGAGGAACCAGTTGAGGTGGCTCGGGCATCTGTTCAGGATGCCTCCTGGACGCCTTCCTGGGGAGGTGTTCCGGGCACGTCCCACCGGGAGGAGGCCCCGGGGAAGACCCAGGACACGCTGGAGAGACTATGTCTCTCAGCTGGCCTGGGAACGCCTAGGGGTCCCCCCGGACGAGCTTGAGGAGGTGTGTGTGGATAGGGAAGTCTGGGCGTCTCTGCTTAGACTGCTGCCCCCGCGACCCGGCAACGGATAAAGCGGAAGAAAATGGATGGATGGATGGACATTATATTGTAGTGAATGATGAATCCTGAGTAATTTTAATAGTGTTTCAAAGTACATTCTTTTCACAACTTAAAATGTGAAGTAATATATATTATGGACTTATGGTAAAGTGACTAGTGCCAATTATTTATGCCTTTATTCTAACTTGCATTATTTTGCTTGTAAAAACCACAAATGCAATCTTTGTCCTGACTCTGGACTTGGTCCTGATATCTTTCTGTAATTATGTTGCAAAGGTAAATTCCTATTTCGAGATCTCCTTGTCCATTTTCCATTGTCGATTCTCCTCCATCTGACTTTAAAAAAGAAGAAAAAAATGTTTTGCCTTCTTTTTATGTATTAGTTTCACATAATTACATTTTTCATGATTTTCAAATGTTTCAGCATTCACCTGTATTCATGGATTTCATTGTTTTTTGCAGAATGAACCACAGCCAGGCAATGATAGTTTGAGAAAACTGTTGAAGGAAAAAGCCCCAAATCTCCTCTTGGAGTTCGAATCATCAGGCAGTCTTTCCATCACGTCACGGAAACTGCTTGTTAAAGTATCTGTGAGCCATCTCGTGGAACAGAAGGGATTGTAAGTATTTCAAAATACTCGTATCTACACCTGTACACACACTGCAGTCCAAAAGTCTGACTGATGGCTTTCATTTCAACCAAGCAGGGGCACACCAGACCCCCTCCAATTCTCATGTAAGAAGAAAGTCTTGAGGAAATGGGTGGAGTCCGGTGTGGCTCTGCTTGGTTGGAATGAACCTGTAACTAGGCCTATCACGATAACAATTTTGATGGACAATAAATTGGTTCACAAACATAACCAATACATGATGCCTTTGATTCTAATACAAAAACCAAATAAGCAATTTCTACATTTGTCAATTTCACTAAGTCATGCATTATGAAAGTTAACAGAATTAAGTCATTTGACCTTGAACTGTTGACTTTTTGCATTTGTTTCTTAAAAAGAAACTCTTTTACGCCATGATTATTATAATGCAATTTACATCATTGAATATGTCAGACCTTTTGTTAATGCAGAGTTTTAAGATAAGATTACAGTTATGGTATCTATATTAAAATGTATCATACAGTTAATCATACTTTTGTCTGTTATTTAGCTATCCCTCAAAGGATGACAAAATACTTCTGGCTAGAAGTATAGTAACAGTCTTTCCCTCGCTAAAGATAAACTACCAGGAAAAAAATGAAGGATTTGTGAGTATATTTACACACGTGTGTGTGTGTGTGTGTGTGTGTGTGTATAATATATACACATGTATAACTGTTCTTTTTTTTTTTATTGTCTAGGAGCATTTCTTTGACCCAGTTTCCCATTGTGGGTTTATTGAAATGAGGCTGAGGAACCTCCGCAGAAGTCTTCACGAAGATCAGCGGCGATACCGGAAAAGAGTTCGTTGTAGTGTACCCGATCCTGATGTCATAGTTACCCTTCACATGGCAGAGCAGGAGGCAGAGGCTACACTGGAGTGGACATCTGCTATTAAAAGGATGAAGCCCATCCCTGAGAACATTGCAACAATCAAAATGGGCATGGATAAAACATTCACAAGTCGGAGGCTTTGGATTTCCACAGAGTCTCCCACAATGCAGGAAATTGTCGCTCACTATCCACGCTTTATTGACCTACTGTGCTTGGTAAACATTACATCTTCTTAACCAATAATTGTGTTCTCTAAATGTATCATTGGACATGGTAACAAGAGAATTTGAAATGGAGATGGAAACTGCTCTGAAAAAGTTTAGATTTGAAAGTGTCTGTCAATTCTTACAATTTGTCTCTTTGAAAACTTAATATAGCAAGGTTGGCGTGTCAGTATGTATCTATTATTGAAACTGTGAAGTTTTTATTTGGAAATGAAAAGCTGCAAAGACTTTATAAAGACTCCACAAAAAGTGAGGATGGAAAGATGCAGGATTACTGTGATGGTCTACATTTTGCTCAGCATCCATTGTACATGCAATACCCTAATGCTTTGCAAATTCAGCTATATTTTGATGATGTCGAAACGACCAATCCTTTGGGGTCAAAGACAAAAATTCACAAAATGGGGGCTGTTTATTTCTGTTTGAGGAATCTTCCTGCAGAAATGAATTCCTCTTTATCAAATATTCACCTGTGTCTTCTCTTTAATTCTATTGACCGAGAGACTTATGGTTTTGCCAAAATATTAGAACCTCTTTTGGAAGATTTACAAATACTTGAAAAGGATGGAATTCAGGTTGAAATTGACAGCCAGAATGTTGATCTCCGTGGAACAATTTGCCTTTTGACTGCAGATAATCTTGCTTGTCATTCACTAGGAGGATTTTTGGAGAGTTTCTCAGCCAACAAGTTTTGCCATTTTTGCTTAACTTGCAAGCAAAGGGCCCAACATGTCTTTGATGATGATCACCAAGAAACCCGTGACAAGATAAACTATAAACACCATGTCAGCCTGAAGAACCCTTCTCTGACGGGTATAAAAGAGGATTCTTGTTTAAATTCACTTGAGTACTTTCATATCACTGAAAACGTATGTCCTGATGTAATGCATGATATTTTAGAAGGTGTGGGTCCGTTAGAAGTAAAGCTGATGTTACATAATTTCATTTATGAAGAGAGACTATTTACATTAGAGCATCTTAACGACAAGATAGTTAGCTTTGATTATGGCTATTCTAACACTAAAAACAAACCAAGTGTCATCCTTAATCTGAGGACATCAGATAATCCCATAAAACAAACAGCCAGTCAAATGTGGTGCCTCTTGCTTTTTCTGCCCTTTTTGATAGGAGAGCATGTAAGTGAAGATAATCAACATTGGAAATTGTTTATCCTCTTAAGAGAAATATGCAACATAGTTTTTGCACCTGTAGTGACCCCTGGACTTGCAGTGTTTTTAAAGCAGTTGGTTATAGATCACCACCATCTTTTCAAAAGTCTTTACCCAGACAGGCAGCTCACACCAAAGCACCACTTCATGACTCATTATTGGCAAATGATTATTAAATTTGGCCCACTTGTAAGGTTTTGGTGCATGCGTTCCGAAAGCAAGCATGGGCCCCTTAAAAAGCATGCCCATGTTGTATGCAATTTTAAAAATATTTCAAAAACATTAGCTCATAAAACTCAACTTCAGAGTATGTTTAATTGGAAGTTTAGTGACCCAATTACAAAGAAAATCCAAGTCCCAAACAGCTATGCAATCACAATTGCATCTTTAGAAAAAAATGAATTGTTCCTTGATCAGTGGAAAGCTATTGACTGTGATGTTAGTCCATGTAGTACAATTCATGTTGCTCATTCTGTTTGTGTTTTTGGTAAAACATTTAGAGTTGGTTGTGTGGTTGCTTTGAAGTCTGATTACAGAGGAGAACCGCTCTTTGGAATCATGTGTACAATTTCACCAATGTGTGAAATGGAAGAAGTATTTGTTTTTATAAGAATCTTAACGGTAACTTATTTTGACGATCATTTATATTCGTATATGGTGGAATGAACTCATGAATATGAATTGATTTCTCTTTAAGAAACTAGGGGACATCAGACCACTGGACTTATTAACATTTTCAGATGAAAAATTATATCTAAATCCAAGATACAAAATACTTGTATAAACGTGTTCATGCTTGTTTCGTATTGGTTTTTTGTAGCAAAACAAGAGTTTGTCATGTATCTTGAGATTAATTCCAGACATTTAGTTCATGATTATTATTTTTTTGACTATTTGTATGAATTGTTTAACACAAGTGAAAAACCTCACTTCAGTTCAATGTCTTTTAGAATTCTGTATAATAAATATATTTGAATACATTTTTTAAAAGATCTTTTTTCTGGAATAAAACACAACATGTGATAATTTTTACACATCTTTGTGCTGATTTATTTTAACACATCTGTGTGTTTAGTTAGGGACAACACAACATGTGTTTATTTCAACACAGCTACCGTGTTGGTGTATTTAACACATTTGTTGTGTTAATTGAACCAACACAGTGGTTGTGTTGAAATCACTACATGTTGTGTTGTCCCTAACTAAACACACAGATGTGTTAATGAATAACACAACATGTGTTATTTTTAACACATCTGTTTTAAGAGTGTAGTCTGTGTAACTGATCATTTAACCTGTGTTGTGTTAAAAAATATTTTTACATTTATTTTGTATAAATAGTAAAGAATGAAATTACACATGCTGTGCGCCACCGCTCACCGCTGCCGTACACGCGTCCACTGTATTGCATCTTTACAGCAGGTGTTTGACGTCAATATGCGGCGGATTTTCATAGAATAAGGAGCGTTTTGTTGCTTGTGACTCTTCACATTGCATTGCATTGCATTGAAGTACAATTGGACCAGTTGTGTTTCTGTAAGATGTGCACTGCGTGCCACAGGGATGTCACGTCATGTGAGTGAGTAGGCCTATAGTCTATGATGCCACAATCGGGCCAATTAAAAAAATAGCAATTGGACCTATTACTGATTGCCAGTGTTGGCCCATTCTCTGTTTTATTGGAGTTGGCCTGAGGCACATCAGTTTAAGTCGGGCCATCAACTGCAATACTAAGGTGAGCCGCGTTTGAGGCCATCGTCGGCAGGGGGCAATAAAACCTCACTCGGGCCGATCAATAAACACTGGGATTGGCGCTACTATTGCAAGTCTGCCTCGGCCCATTCAAAAATAACAATGTTTCCGCCGAGTCGGAGCTCAGCCGACACTGACGTGGCTAAGCCAGAGTTGGCCCGAGTGTCCTTGCTACCTGGGTGTGAGTCCCTTTACCCTGCTTGATCTGACGATCCATTACCGTCCGTCGCAGGTTCGGCTTTAGCAGGTCCAGTCTTGAGCGCAGCCCCCGTCCCAGGAACAGTATGGCAGGGGTTCGGTTAGTAGTAGCATGAGTGGCGTTACGGTAGGCAAACAGGACGTTGGCTAACTTCTGCTGAAGAGAAATGGGTGCATCCGCAAAGGCTCGCAGACCTTGTTTTAGAGTTTGTACGAACCTCTCGGCGAGCCCATTAGTAGCCGGATGGTAGGGAGCTGATGTTATGTGGCGGATTCCATTCAGCTTCATAAACATCTGAAATTCACTAGCTGTGAATTGAGGACCATTGTCACTCACCAACTGTTCGGGGATACCAGTTCTAGCAAAGAGACCTCTCAACACGTCGATTGTGTTGGCTGTTGTCGTGGATTTCATGGCGAACACTTCTGGCCACTTTGAACATGCATCGACCACTACAAGGAATGTTTTATTCATGAATGGCCCGGCGAAATCAATGTGTATCCGTTGCCATGGCGATGTGGGCCATTCCCATGTATGGAGGGGTGCCACTGTCGGTTCGTTCTGTACACGCTGGCACCCAGGACAATGTGCTGCGAGCTGTTCTATCTGTTGGTCAATCCCTGGCCACCAGACATAGCTCCTGGCGAGTGCCTTCATCTTCACCACTCCCAGATGACCACTGTGTAACTCTTCCAGCACCCTGGACCTGACCTTGGTGGGTATGATGATCCTCATTCCCCACATAAGGCACCCAGAGTCAATAGCAAGCTCATCCCGGCGTTGGAAATATGGAGCGAGGAAAGACCTTTCACTAGCTGCCCAGCCTGTCTGCGTTGCTTTGTACACTTGTGAGAGAGTCGCATCTTTCCGGGTCTCTCTCTCAATCATCTCCGCTGTCACTGGGAGGCTTTCGATCTGCATGAGCGTGAACATCGCCACTGATTCTTTGTCTCCTTTTGTGCCTGTTGCGGTGTCGAGTGGCAACCGAGACAACCCGTCTGCATTGGCGTGATTTAGTGTGCTCTTGAATTCAATCTTGTACCGATGCCCTCCCAGGAACAGGGCCCAACGCTGCATGCGTGCCGCTGCGGTCATGGGGATAGCCTTATGGGGGTTGAATATTGAGACCAGTGGTTGATGATCGGTCACGAGGGTGAACTCCCTGCCGTATAAGTACTGGTTAAATCGTTTTACGCCCCAGACCAGGCCCAGTGCCTCCTTGTCTATTTGGGAGTAATTTTTCTCAGCCGAGGACAGGGAGCGGGAGGCAAACGCTATTGGTCTCTCAGTGCCGTCCCGCATGACATGTGACATAACGGCCCCTATACCATACGGTGACGCGTCGCATGCCAACTTCACAGGCAAGGACGGGTCGTAGTGTGTGAGCACTGTCTCTGATGTCACCAGCCTTTTCACTTCCTGGAAGGCCTGTTCGCATTCCTTGGTCCATTTCCATTTCCGTTCTGCCTGGAGTAGTTCGTTCAGAGGATGGAGCACTGTAGACAGGTTAGGCATGAACCGGTGGTAGTAGTTGATGAATCCAAGGAACGATCTCAGTTGCTGTACATCCTGTGGCTGAGGAGCCTTCATGACGGCATTGATCTTTTCTTTGCATTTATGCAAACCCTGTGCATCAATGGTGTGGCCGCAGTATGTGATACATGGTTTGAAAAACTCACACTTGTCACGTCTAGCCCGGAGTCCGTAATCTTGAAGTCTCTGTAAGACCTTATGGAGGTTCTCCAGGTGTTCGTTATCGTTGGCCCCAGTCACAATTATATCATCTAAGTAACACTGTGTACCTGGAATCCCCTGCAACACCTGATCCATAGCACGCTGCCAGATAGCCGGGGCTGAGGCCACTCCGAACACTAACCTGTTGTAGCGGTACAAGCCCTTCAGAGTATTGATGGTCAGGAACATCTTCGAGTCTTCCTCTATCTCCATCTGTAGATAGGCCTCCGCCAGGTCCACCTTGGTGAACCGCTTTCCACCAGCCAGGTTTGCAAAAATGTCCTCGATCCTGGGAAGTGGATATTGTTCTGCTTGTAGCACAGGATTGATTGTGATTTTGAAGTCCCCACACACCCTCACTGCCCCTGACTTCTTTGCTACTGGGACAATGGGTGTGGCCCATGGGCTCCAGTCAACTTTAGACAGGATTCCGTCGGCCTCTAGGCGGTCCAGCTCCGCTTCCACCTTCTGTTGTATGGCGTACGGAACTGGCCGTGCTTTGTGGAAACGTGGAATGGCCCCGTCTTGAAGAACAATTTTGCCCTTTATGTTTTTTAATGTCCCAATTCCATCTTGGAATACAGGCGTTGCAGCCACCAAGACTGTCTCCAATTTGACCTCTGTGGACTTGTCGGTGGTGTTTGGCGCCACCTGCAGGCTTTTAATGGACTTCCAATCCAGCTGTTAATTTCCTCAGCCAGTCTCGGCCCCACAGTGCTGGTCCTCCTCTTTTTACAATGTACAAGTCCAATGTGCATTGTTGGCCATTGTGTTGTACCTCCACCGGCAATACGCCGAGGGGCTTGATTTTCTCTCCAGTATATGTCTTTAGGAGGACAGATGACGAGTTCAGCTTCTGGTCTCCAAAGTACTGCACAAAGTCACTGTGCGCCATCACTGACACTGCAGAGCCGGTATCCAGTTCCATCCTCACTTGTTTTCCATTCACCTGGGGTGTGAGCCAGATCGCTTCCCGGCCACCACCTTTAGCATGGTACACATCCAAGCAGTTTGTATGTTCACTTTCGTCCGATTCCTCACCTGCAGTTTCCTCTATATTGTACACTTTCTTGTTCTTGTGTACATTCCACTGCGTCTTCCTCTCACTTTTATTCACTCTTGACTTTCCTGAGCGACAAACTCTCTGAATGTGCCCTGTCTTGTTACATAGTCTGCAGATTTCATCCCTAAATCTACACTGTGAAGGGGAATGGAAGCCCCTCCCACACCTGTAACACGGTTCATGCTCTCTTTCTTGTGGGACTGTTGCCATTTTATTCACATTTATTGCCTTTACTCCTGTTTGCAGTTCAACGGCATCTCTGGCTGCCGTTTCCATTGAGACTGCGATTTCAACTGCCCTTTTGTAAGTGAGCTTATCCTCGGTAAGCAGTCTCTTCTGTATGGCCTCGTTCAGAATACCGCATACCAAGCGGTCTCTCAGCGCATCATCCAGTCCCTGTGCAAATTCACAGTGCTCAGTAAGTCTCTTCAGCTCAGCCACATAACTAACAATAGATTCTCCCTCATGTTGATTTCGCTTGTGGAATCTAAAACGCTCAGCAATTAGTAGCGGCTTTGGCGATAAATGTTCTTTCATCACTTTCACCAATTCATCAAAAGTCTTGTCTGATGGCTTATCTGGTGCAGTCAAGCTCCGCAACAGGCCGTATGATCTTCCCCCCATTGCACTCAGCAACACTGCAACATGTTTCTCCGTTGCTATGTCATTTGCCACAAAATACTGGGAAACGCGTTCAGTATACTCGACCCAGTCATCCGTTGTGCTGTCAAACGGGTCTATCGATCCAACTCTCGCCATCTTGTCACGCTGTGTATGCACACTCTCTTCCGAGTCACTACTGTCTGTTTCAATATGCTGCTCCTGTGAGACAGTAGAATCGCTCATCGCCGAGACATGGGTCCACTGTACAACCACCTCGTCGCCACTGTTAGATACTGAAATGACCACGGGATACCAGCGTGTTGTAGGCTTGGACTTTACTGCATAACAACAACGTTACATTCACTTCCTGTAGTGTCAAGGTACGTAGGCAGACAACATAACAGACTCAGACCATATAGAACGATGTCAGAGCAACCGATGTCAATACTCTACAGTAGCAGTAGCAGCAGTAGCAGAAGCAGTAGCAGCAGTAGTAGCAGCAGTAGCAGTAGCAGAAGCAGTAGCAGAAGCAGTAGCAGCAGTAGCAGCAGTAGCAGTAGTAGCAGCAGTAGCAGTAGCAGCAGTAGCAGAAGCAGTAGTAGCAGCAGTAGCAGTAGCAGTATACGTTTTTATGCTGATGATACTATTATTTACTGCATCACTTGAGCAGGCTGTTAATTCTCTGCAGAAAGCCTTTGTTTCTGTTCAGAATTCTTTTTTTAATCTAAAACTACGTCTCAATGCTGACAAGACAAAGCTAATGCTTTTTTCAAAACACAAGAAGCAACCTCCAGCTCCCCCAGTGGTGTCCACTCTTGAGGGGAATGTCATTGAAGTGGTGCATGAATACAAATACCTAGGAGTTATAATTGATGACGCCCTCACTTTTAAACCTTTTATTGATGCACTTGTGAAGAAATTAAAAATTAAGCTGGGTTTTTTCTTTAGAAATAAGACATGTTTTTCTTTTGGGGTTAAAAGGCGCCTTGTCTCTGCCACTTTTTTATCCGTCTTAGATTATGGTGACCTTTTTTATATGAATGCTACCTCTTTGTGTCTTGAAAAGCTGGACTCAATATATCATGCCTCCCTGAGGTTAATCACAAACTGTAGAGCTCTGACACTGTGAGCTGTACGCTCGGGTGGGATGGTCCTCCCTGTCCACTAGGAGGCAGTGTCATTGGTACACCTTTATTTACAAGGCTCCTCTGGGGCTCCTGCCCTCTTACCTCTGTACATTACTCACACAGAGGAGTACAGAGTCTTATGCTCTGAGGTGCACTGAGCAGCTGTTACTTACTGTGCCTTTTGTCCGCACAGAGTTTGGAAAAAGAGCTTTTGTCCTGCAGCTTCTTCTGCTTGGAACATGCTCCAGCGAGACTGGAAACCGAGCTTTTGTCTTTGAATGCTTTTAAATCAAAACTCAGAGTTTTCGAGACTGCCTCAATCACCTGTAAATGTTTTACTTGATGTGTTTAGTCTGTATATCTGTCATTTTTTTTATGTCATTGAATCTATCTGTTGTGTTTATGTGTAACTTTGCTGCCTCTTGGCCAGGACTCCCTTGAAAAAGAGATTCTTAATCTCAATGGGATTTTTCCTGGTTAAATAAAGGTTAAAAAAATAAAAAAATAAAAAGTAGCAGCAGTAGCAGTAGCAGTAGCAGCAGCAGTAGCAGTAGCAGTAGCAGCAGTAGCAGTAGCAGTAGCAGTAGTAGCAGTAGTAGTAGCAGCAGTAGCAGTAGCAGTAGCAGTAGTAGCAGTAGTAGTAGCAGCAGTAGCAGTAGCAGTAGCAGTAGCAGCAGTGACCTGTGGCTTTAGGATTTGTTGTATGGAATTTCATCTTTGGCAAGAAGTGTTGAATGTTTTGGGATTTATGGGATTATCCAAATTAGCAGCAGCTGAAATAACAGCAGCAACTGGAGCGGAGCCAGGAGCATTAGTCTAACCAAGCTAACACTGAAGCTAACACTGAAGCTAACACTGAAGCTAACACGCTGGTCTCCCTCTGGTCTCCCTCTGGTCTCCCTCTTGCCTCTCTGGTCTCTCTCTGGTCTCTCTGGTCTCTCTCTGGTCTCTCTCTGGTCTCTCTCTGGTCTCTCTCTCTGGTCTCTCTCTGGTCTCTCTCTGGTCTCTCTTAGGTCTCTCTCTGGTCTCTCTCTGGTCTCTCTCTCTGGTCTCTCTCTCTGGTCCCTCTCTGGTCTCTCTTTGGTCTCTCTCTGGTCTTTCTCTGGCCTCTCTGGTCTCTCTCTGGCCTCTCTCTGGTCTCTCTCTGGTCTCTCTCTGGCCTCTCTCTGGTCTCTCTCAGGTCTCTCTCTCTGGTCTCTCTCTGGTCTCTCTATGGCCTCTCTCTGGTCTCTCTCTGGTCTCTCTCTGGCCTCTCTCTGGTCTCTCTCAGGTCTCTCTCAGGTCTCTCTCTGGTCTCTCTCTGGTCTCTCTCTGGTCTCTCTCTGGCCTCTCTCTGGCCTCTCTCTGGTCTCTCTCTGGTCTCTCTCAGGTCTCTCTCTGGTCTCTCTCTGGTCTCTCTATGGCCTCTCTCTGGTCTCTCTCTGGTCTCTCTCTGGCCTATCTCTGGTCTCTCTCAGGTCTCTCTCAGGTCTCTCTCTGGTCTCTCTCTGGTCTCTCTCTGGTCTCTCTCTGGTCTCTCTCTGGTCTCTCTCTGGTCTCTCTCAGGTCTCTCTCTGGCCTCTCTGGTCTCTCTCTGGCCTCTCTCTGGTCTCTCTCAGGTCTCTCTCTGGCTCTCTCTGGTCTCTCTCAGGTCTCTCTCTGGTCTCTCTCAGGTCTCTCTCTGGCCTCTCTGGTCTCTCTCTGGTCTCTCTCTGATCTCTCTCTGGTCTCTCTCTGGTCTCTCTCTGGTCTCTCTCTGGTCTCTCTCTCTCTCGGGGGCAAAGGGTGAGGGGCTCGTCCGCGTGTTTCAAGTTGAGCAGAAAATCACAGTAAATGAGTGAGTGGTGGCTCAGCGGGGGTGAGGGTGTTGGGGGGGGGGGGGGGGGGGGGGGTGAGGAGGGGGAGTCCAAAGCCCTCTCAGCGTCAGCACTCGGCTGGAAGTGTCATGTAAACATCAGCTGCTAAGAACCTCTGCAGCCCATAGAGAAGCTCTGAGGAATCTGTGGAGGAGGGAGGGGGGTGAGGGGGGAGGGAGGGGAGGAGGGAGGGGAGGAGGGAGGTTCATCTACAGACCAGGAGGACAGGTCCATAGACTGTACACAAATGGATGAGGCCTCTTGCACTAGTACTGGGCCTCATCACAGACCAGAGAGACCAGAGTGCTACAGTTTGGAGCTGAAGGACCATGTGGGGCTTCTCCTGGTACTGCACCGAACCAGACTAAAGTCATGTTACCCAGAAATGTTCCCACAGAACTCTAAAACAGCTGGACCTCAGCGGACAGAGAACCTACAGAGAACCTGACAGAGAACCTGACAGAGAACCTACAGAGAACCTACAGAGAACCTGACAGAGAACCTACAGAGAACCTGACAGAGAACCTGACAGAGAACCTACAGAGAACCTACAGAGAACCTGACAGAGAACCTACAGAGAACCTGACAGAGAACCTGACAGAGAACCTACAGAGAACCTACAGGGAGAACCTACAGAGAACCTGACAGAGAACCTGACAGAGAACCTACAGAGAACATGACAGAGAACCTGACGGAGAACCTGACAGAGAACCTACAGAGAACCTGACAGAGAACCTACAGAGAACCTGACAGAGAACCTACAGAGAACCTGACAGAGAACCTGACAGAGAACCTGACAGAGAACCTGACAGAGAACCTACAGAGAACCTGACAGAGAACCTGACAGAGAACCTACAGAGAACCTACAAAGAACCTGACAGAGAACCTGACAGAGAACCTGACAGAGAACCTACAGAGAGAACCTACAGAGAACCTGACAGAGAACCTGACAGAGAACCTGACAGAGAACCTACAGAGAACCTACAGAGAACCTGACAGAGAACCTGACAGAGAACCTACAGAGAACCTACAGAGAGAATCTACAGAGAACCTGACAGAGAACCTGACAGAGAACCTACAGAGAACCTGACAGAGAACCTGACAGAGAACCTGACAGAGAACCTGACAGAGAACCTGATAGAGAACCTGACAGAGAACCTGACAGAGAACCTACAGTAAACCTACAGAGAGAACCTACAGAGAACCTGACAGAGAACCTGACAGAGAACCTGACAGAGAACCTACAGTAAACCTACAGAGAGAACCTACAGAGAACCTGACAGAGAACCTGACAGAGAACCTACAGCTTTCATAAAGATCAGATTTAGTGTCTCTTGTCGTCCTGAACTTTTTTTCGTCTTAAATCGTTTGGTTTTCTTTAAATCCACATTTTACTGCCACAAACTCTGCTCCTTTCCTTCCCGCTCTGACTCCGCTCTGCTGCTGCTCTGATGATCAGCTCTGATTGGTCAGAGCGAGGCCGAGCCCCTCTGTGCACGTGCATGAAAACCACACACGCGTATTTGCAGCAAAGCATCATGGGAGCTCGTCCACTGCACAGAACAGGGAGGACTAGACACCCAAACATGGGCGAGTTCCTCTGATATGTCAGCGCCGTGAAGTCCCATGAACTACTGAGCACAAGCCATTCATTTGAACAGGACGCCATCTTGGATGAGCGGGGCTTGGGCCAAAAAAACAAACAAACGGTTTTATCTTTTTATTGTTTATTTGTTGGGACATTAACACATCTCTCTGGATCGTAGCTTGGGCTCATTTCAGATTCAGATTCAGTTTATTTGCCATTTGCAGTAAAAAAAACAAAAAAAAAACACATTGGAATACATTAGCAAAAGTCTCCAGTGTGCACAGACAAATACCTTCATTTCCTCCGTTGTCCCACAGTCACACAAACACACTCATTCACCCTGAACTATTGCACGTGTTTTTAGTGGTAGGGGAAACTGGAGTACCCGGAGCACGCCACTGAAACATGGGGAGAACATGGAAACTCCACTCGGAAACGTCCTGTTCCAACCGGGATTCGAACCCAGAACCTTCTTGCTGAGAGGCGAGAGTGCTATCCAGCCATCGTTTAATGTCGTTTCTGTCTCTCTCTGATTTAAAATACTGTAGTGTATTTACATGCCTCAGCTTTAAAACAGAAGCCCCTCCCACACGTGTGACATCACAGCCCCTCCTTCATATCGTTTTTATGTATAAACGTAGTTGAAACATTCAGAGCAGAGCGACACAGATCTGCGTCAGACCTGTCACTCTTTACAGCCGTCTCCTATAGATTTTACTGCTCCCCCCCTCGACCCCCCCCCCCCCCCCCCCCTCTCCCCCTCTCCCCCCTCAGGGACCCACACCGCCGCACGCTGTCATGTTCATGTCATCCATATTGAGTTTTTCTTCGTAGACACTGAGACAGAATGTTAGATAACCTCGAACAGTAAATAAACAGACCGAGGCTTCGACTGGTTACAGCAGGATTAGAACCCACAACCTCAGAGTCTGAGATCTGACATTAATGCTGCAGGAGAGGTGGGCCAGAGCATGGTTGGGAGAGGTGGGCCAGGGCATGGTTGGAGAGGTGCGCCAGAGCATGGTTGGGAGAGGTGGGCCAGGGCATGGTTGGAGAGGTGGGCCAGAGCATGGTTGGGAGAGGTGGGCCAGGGCATGGTTGGGAGAGGTGGGCCAGAGCATGATTGGGAGAGGTGGGCCAGGGCATGGTTGGAGAGGTGGGCCAGGGCATGGTTGGGAGAGGTGGGCCAGGGCATTGTTGGGAGAGGTGGGCCAGGGCATTGTTGGGAGAGATGGGCCAGGACATGGTTGGGAGAGGTGGGCCAGAACATGGTTGGGAGAGGTGGGCCAGAACATGGTTGGGAGAGGTGGGCCAGAACATGGTTGGGAGAGATGGGCCAGAACATGGTTGGGAGAGATGGGCCAGGACATGGTCGGAAGAGGTGGACCAGGGCATGGTTGAGAGAGGTGGGCCAGGGCATGATTGGGAGAGGTGGGCCAGGGCATGGTTGGGAGAGGTGGACCAGAGCATGATCGGAAGAGGTGGACCAGGGCATGGTTAGAGAGGTGGACCAGAGCATGGTTGGAGAGGTGGACCAGGGCATGGTTGGGAGAGGTGGGCCAGAGCATGGTTGGGAGAGGTGGGCCAGGGCATGGTTGGAGAGGTGGGCCAGAGCATGGTTGGGAGAGGTGGGCCAGGGCATGGTTGGGAGAGGTGGGCCAGAGCATGGTTGGGAGAGGTGGGCCAGGGCATGGTTGGAGAGGTGGGCCAGGGCATGGTTGGGAGAGGTGGGCCAGGGCATTGTTGGGAGAGGTGGGCCAGGGCATTGTTGGGAGAGATGGGCCAGGACATGGTTGGGAGAGGTGGGCCAGAACATGGTTGGGAGAGGTGGGCCAGAACATGGTTGGGAGAGGTGGGCCAGAACATGGTTGGGAGAGGTGGGCCAGAACATGGTTGGGAGAGATGGGCCAGGACATGGTCGGAAGAGGTGGACCAGGGCATGGTTGAGAGAGGTGGGCCAGGGCATGATTGGGAGAGGTGGGCCAGGGCATGGTTGGGAGAGGTGGACCAGAGCATGGTCGGAAGAGGTGGACCAGGGCATGGTTAGAGAGGTGGACCAGAGCATGGTTGGAGAGGTGGACCAGGGCATGGTTGGGAGAGGTGGGCCAGGGCATGGTTGGGAGAGGTGGGACCAGAGCATGGTCGGAGAGGTGGACCAGGGCATGGTTAGAGAGGTGGACCAGAGCATGGTTAGAGAGGTGGACCAGGGCATGGTTGGGAGAGGTGGGCCAGGGCATGGTTGGGAGAGGTGGGCCAGAGCATGGTTGGGAGAGGTGCGCCAGAACATGGTTGGGAGAGGTGGGCCAGAACATGGTTGGGAGAGGTGGGCCAGGGCATGGTTGGGAGAGGTGGGCCAGAGCCTGCTTTGTAAAGCCCAGATGGGGGGCGTCAGTGGGGGGGCGGTGGGGAGTGGGGGATGAGGTGTGGTGGGTACGTGATATTGTGAGTCACATTCAATGGGGGCGGGTCCCGGCTCAAAAGTGGCCAAACTGACATGCGCTGACATGCTGCAGTACCACCCCGGGCCTGTGGGGGTGGACCCAGAATAAGAATTAGCCAATGCTAACATATAGCATCTTCTTACCTCTGGAAAACGTCTTTACAGGATGGTCAAAAAGTGTCTCTTGGCCCAAAGCTCCGTTCCACATGTGTGTCAATGCTGAGTGTTCTGGACCAGTCTAGTTTAGTTGCTGTGGACTTTAGAAGTCTCTCGTTTAAATGAATGGAGCTCTAGCAGCTGACGCATGCACAGATGTGTTTTTTCACATTTTCCAGGGTCAGCACTAGATCATAAACAGAATCGGGACAAAACCGGAAGTAACAAGCCTACTTTCAAATTAGTTTTAGACTAAAAAGTCCTTAAATGGTGTCTGAGTAAGATGGTTAAGGTTAGGGTTAAGGTGGTCTGAGTAAGATGGTTAGGGTTAGGGTTAAGGTGGTCTGAGTAAGATAATTAAGGTTAGGGTTAAGGTGGTCTGAGTAAGATGGTTAAGGTTAGGGTTAAGGTGGTCTGAGTAAGATGGTTAGGGTTAGGGTTAAGGTGGTCTGAGTAAGGTGGTTAAGGTTAGGGTTAAGGTGGTCTGAGTAAGATGGTTAAGGTTAGGGTTAAGGTGGTCTGAGTAAGATGGTTAAGGTTAGGGTTAAGGTGGTCTGAGTAAGATAATTAAGGTTAGGGTTAAGGTGGTCTGAGTAAGATGGTTAAGGTTAGGGTTAAGGTGGTCTGAGTAAGATGGTTAGGGTTAGGGTTAAGGTGGTCTGAGTAAGGTGGTTAAGGTTAGGGTTAAGGTGGTCTGAGTAAGATGGTTAAGGTTAGGGTTAAGGTGGTCTGAGTAAGATGGTTAGGGTTAGGGTTAAGGTGGTCTGAGTAAGGTGGTTAAGGTTAGGGTTAGGGTAGGGTGACCAGATTTTCAAAATGAAAAACTGGGACATTTTAATACCAAAATTATACGACAAATTCTCACCACAAACGAATGAAGTGAAATTTTATTGCAGTCAAAATGTGGCTCCCAAACAATCAAAAGATGTATAACATTTAAACAATGAATTGTTTTGAAATATCAAACCTTATTGCACAAACAAAATCAGTGCTTCAATGCAAAACCCTGAACAGTCTTACTGACTCTAGTATTTCATGCTTGAGTGTACCTTTTTCAAGAGGCTACGGTTGTCACTGATCCTTGTATAGAACTCAGAGCAACTATACTGAAAGTTCACCCGAGTAATGAGCAGCGCTTTCAAAGTTTCCAGTCCCATACGGTTTCTCTCATCAGTCCAAGTATTGTTCATAATTGAAAAAATGCGCTCAACAGGGGCATTTGTGCCAGGAAGGCACATGGCAAACTGGCAGATAACAAAAATGTTTCTGAATGGAACATGTCTGTACTTAAAATGTGTGAACATTTCTGCCCAGCGCTCATCTGCAGGTGTTGAAATTGTGTTCCACTGTTCAATCTTTTCTGATGTGTAAGTTTTGAGAGAAGTGACTTCATCAAACAGCTCTGTTTCAATGATGTCCATCTGTGGCAGCTTGGTGGAGACATACCTCAGGGAGCACTCAACCTCATCCCACTCTGGTGCATGCTCTAGCAGTGTCCAGGAGAGGCACTTCAGCTCAGTGAATGGAGAGCCCCACTCCTGGAGGTATGAGATGCAGCAGTCATAGAAGTTCTGGACGCCTTTCTTGAACACATCCACTTGATGGCGCTCTTGGAAGCCAACCAGAAGACTTTTCACCTAAATTAAAAAACAAAAAACATTTCATTATGCAATTAATAAAACCATGAACAGTTGTTACTGTTAAATTGCTATTTACTATTTACTAGGGGTGTAACAATGCACCGTGCTACAAATGAAATCCGCGTGCCTTTGCAAACGTTTCTCCTGCTGATGATGGCCAGGCTGCGGTAAAGTATAAATCCAGTGCACTTTTTTCTTTAACTTTAGAGCACTGTGGTTTTTGTGTGTGTGTGTTTTTTTAGCCCTGGGGCACATTTTATTGTAAAGCAGCTTTGAAAAATTAGAAAGCATTTTCAATGTATTTCTGAAATTACAAAAACTGCTTAATAATGAACATTAAGGCTATTTTATTTCAAAACTGATTTATTAGCCAATTATATCGCACTAGCACCGTGATGCACCGGACCGTGGGTCCTGCACCGTGAACTGTTCTGAACCGTTACACCCCTACTATTTACACTATAATTTATACAACTGTATGCAAATAAAAAAATAACAGTGCTATCAAATGTGTACAAGTATGTATTATTATAGTTTTATATGATCCATACAACTCACCTTTAAGCCCATGAAGAGTGCAGCCTTCCTCTCCATAAGCTTTTCCTTAAGACTGGAGAGGTACAGGGCAGAATGGATGGCAGAGCTCTTCTCCTTCTCCAGTTGTTTGATGGTGTCATTGAAAAGTGTCAGTTGGTTATGAATAAACCAAAGCCATGCCTCGCACACTTGGTCTTCAAGAAACTTTAGAATAGAATTAGGAGCCTTATCTTGAGACCTGAAGTAGGACTGAAGAGCTGGGTAAAGCTTCAGGACCCTCTCAACAGCAGGCCCCAGTGAAAGCCAGCGTGTTCTGCTAGTCCCCAGAAGCGTGGCATGCTCAACCTCAACAAAATTACAGAAATCTTTCAGCTCCTCAGTTCTGACGGTGTAAATGTGAAAGTATCCAAATACCTTGACAACAAAGTTCTCTATGTCACAGGGAAGTGTGTCTGCTGCTGATTGCACTGCATTGTGCACAATGTGTGCTGCACAGCCTACTCCGATCAAACTGCAGGGGGTGGCTTGATCAAGTTTGTAAAACACATTCACTTTATCCATCAGACCAAAAGCTGACAGGCTACGCTCGACTTCATTAAATAGGAGGGTGGATGTCTCACCTGGTAGTGACACAAAATTGAGTATCTTGACGCTCACGCCCTCAGTCAATGTAAAGTAGCGGATTACAACAGGGAGAAGTTTTACTGCTTTGCGGTTTGATGTGTCCGCTGCGACGGAGACGAAAGTAACATCCGCGGTGTCCTCCTGCAGCAACTCCATAGCATGTGGGGCTATCACATTCGTAAAAATTGCCTCCGCTTTGGTGCGAGCACAGGTAAAACGTTGGTCATAAAATTTCCGCGTCAGCCCAGCTGTACAGTCCATTGAACGAAAGCTGTGATTGTGCCTCACAAGGTGATAGGCAAATGTGGCCTCCTGAGCAGCACGTTTAAGTTCTTCATCACCAGCCGCAGCTTGCCCGAAAAATGGGCTAACAGAGCTACTTCCCGCCTGTTCCCATCTCTTGTGTTTGCTAGTTTTACTGTGGCTCTGCACGTCGGCTTTTCCGCCATGAGCGACGGAAAACTCGCACTTACAAAGTGTACAAAAGGCAGCATTTTCATTACCCGGTACTTTCCTGAGGAAACGGTACTGTTCCAGGAGCTCTTGGGTTAACCTCGACTTTCTTTTAGGCATGTTCAGCATAAGAAATGTTGATCCATAGCGTTTTGTTGTGAACATCTAATGTCAATGCCATGGACCAATGAGAATCAAGCTACAGACACGCGGAGGACTGTTCATCTTTTCAATTGGTTCATATTATAAATTGCTATGGCAACTGTGTGATTGGCAACAAGATTCAGCCACTGTGCGCTGTATTAGCTTTTTACCATTGCATATGCATGGCTAAAAAAATCGGGACACCTGGGACGGAGCGTGCGTAAAAGTGGGACAAAACAATGGGGCTTGTGAAATCCGCCGGGACACGGGACGCAGTGCTCAAAATCGGGACAGTCCCGGGTAAATCGGGACGTATGGTCGTATTGTTATTTTTATTTCCGCTTCCATGTATGATCTAGTGCTGACCCATTTTCCAGCCCCCGCGGCCATTTTGAATCACTCCAAGAAAGCCCAATGTTTGGCCCATTAGTTAGAACGGTGGAGATAGGCCTGACTACGTCTGTTAATATATACAGTCTATGGTCACATTACTTCTTCCTCTGACGCACATTTTCATACAGACTCTGCACTTTCGTGTTCTCCGCTTGTGTTAAACCTTTCATACAAGCCCCGGACCGTAATCGAGGGGCGAGGGGCGCAGGGGGCCGTGGTCGAGGGGGCGCAGAGGGCTGTGGTCAAGGGGCGCAGGGGGCTGGGGTCGCGAGGCGCAGGGGACCATGGTCGGGGGGCGCAGGGGGCTGTGGTCGAGAGGCGCAGGGGGTTGTGGTCGAGAGGCGCAGAGGACCGTGGTCAAGGGGCGCAGGGGGCTGTGGTCGAGAGGCGCAGAGGGTTGTGGTCGAGAGGCGCAGAGGACCGTGGTCAAGGGGCGCAGGGGGCTGTGGTCGAGAGGCGCAGAGGACCGTGGTCAAGGGGCGCAGTGGACCGTGGTCGAGAGGCGCAGGGGGCCGTGGTCGAGGGGCGCAGGGGGCCGTGAGCTGTGGTTGAGGGGCGAAGGGGACAGCGACCACGGTCCCCTGCGCCCCTGCGCCTGCTACTGTAGCAGAATGTAAACAGGAAGAGAAACGGAAACTTAACTCGAACAACAAGGTCGTCGCTGGAGTTAGAATTAGCGCCACCAGCTGGACCGAGAGTTGTACTACAGCACAGTTTATGAGAAGAAGCTCTTCTGAGCCGTCTACGTTTGTTACATCTGATTGAATAATCTACTCTCTAGTCTCTCTCTAGTCTCTCTCTGGTCTCTCTCTGGTCTCTCTCTCTCGTCTCTCTCTGGTCTCTCTCTGGTCTTTGAGTGTTGTCGTGAGCAGAGGAGGTGACCTTTGAACTGCCCCTGTGACTTTGTGACTTTTTGTATGTCTCGCCTCATTTCCACCTACCCTACTCTACTCTACTGTACCCTACTCCACTCTACTCTACTCTACTCTACCCTACCTTACCCTACTCTACTCTACCCTACTCTACCCTACTCTACTCTACTCTTCCCTACTCTACTCTACTCTACTCTACTCTACTCTACTCTACCCTACCTCACCCTACTCTACTCTACCCTACTCTACCCTACTCTACTCTACTCTACTCTACTCTACCCTACCTTACCCTACTCTACTCTACTCTACTCTACTCTACTCTACCCTACTCTACCCTACTCTACTCTACCCTATTCTACCCTACTCTACTCTACTCTACTCTACCCTACCTTACCCTACACTACTCTACTCTACTCTACCCTACCTTACCCTACTCTACTCTACCCTACTCTACTATACCCTACTCTACTCTACTCTACCCTACCCTACCCTACTCTACTCTACCCTACTCTACCCTACCTTACCCTACCCTATCCTACTCTACCCTACTCTACTCTACTCTACTCTACTCTACTCTACTCTACTCTACCCTACTCTACTCTACTCTACTCTACCCTACCCTACACTACTCTACTCTACTCTACCCTACCTTACCCTACTCTACTCTACCCTACTCTACTATACCCTACTCTACTCTACTCTACCCTACCCTACCCTACTCTACTCTACCCTACTCTACCCTACCTTACCCTACCCTATCCTACTCTACCCTACTCTACTCTACTCTACTCTACTCTACTCTACTCTACTCTACTCTACTCTACTCTACTCTACTCTACCCTACTCTACTCTACTCTACTCTTCTGTACTCTACTCTACCCTACTCTAATCTACTCTACTCTACTCTACTCTACTCTACTCTACCCTACTCTACTCTACTCTACTCTACTCTACTCTACCCTACCCTACCCTACCCTACTCTACTCTACTCTACTCTACTCTACCCTACCCTACCCTACTCTACTCTACTCTACTCTACCCTACTCTACTCTACTCTACCCTACTCTACTCTACCCTACTCTAATCTACTCTACTCTACTCTAATCTACTCTACTCTACCCTACTCTACTCTACTCTACTCTACTCTAATCTACTCTACTCTACCCTACTCTACTCTACTCTACTCTACTCTACTCTACTCTATCCTACTCTACCCTACTCTACTCTACTCTACTCTACTCTACCCTACTCTACTCTACTCTGCTCTCCTCCACTCTACTCTACTCTACTCCACTGTACTCTACTCTACTCTACCCTACCCTACTCTACTCTACTCTACTCTACTCTACTCTACCCTACCCTACTCTAATCTACTCTACTTTACTCTACTCTACTCTACTCTACTCTACTCTACCCTACTCTACTCTACGCTACCCTTCTCTACCCTACACTACTCTAATCTACTGTACTCTACTCTACTCTACTCTGCTCTACCCTACTCTACTCTACTTTACTCTACCCTACCCTACTCTACTCTACTCTACTCTACTCTACTCTACTCTACTCTACTCTACCCTACTCTATTCTACTCTACTGTACTCTACTCTCCTCTCCTCTCCTCTACTCTACTCTACTCTACTCTACTCTACTCTACTCTACTCTACTCTACCCTACCCAGCTCTGCTCTGCTCTACTCTACTCTACTCTACTCTGCTCTACTCTACTCTACTCTACCCTACTCTACCCTACTCTACTCTACTCTACTCTACCCTACCCTACCCTACTCTACTCTACTCTACTCTACTCTACCCTACCCAGCTCTGCTCTGCTCTACTCTACTCTACTCTACTCTACTCTACTCTACTCTACTCTACCCTACTCTACTCTACTATACTCTACTCTCCTCTACTCTACTCTACTCTACTCTACTCTACTGTACTCTACTCTACCCTACTCTACCCTACTCTACTCTACTCTTCTGTACTCTACCCTACCCTACTAATCTACTCTACTCTACTCTACTCTACTCTACTCTACCCTACTCTACTCTACTCTACTCTACTCTACTTTACCCTACCCTACCCTACCCTACTCTACTCTACTCTACTCGACTCTACCCTACCCTACCCTACCCTACTCTACTCTACTCTACCCTACTCTACTCTACCCTACTCTACTCTACCCTACTCTAATCTACTCTACTCTACTCTACTCTACTCTACTCTAATCTACTCTACTCTACCCTACTCTACTCTACTCTACTCTACTCTACTCTATCCCACTCTACCCTACTCTACCCTACTCTACTCTGCTCTCCTCCACTCTACTCTACTCTACTCCACTGCACTCTACTCTACTCTACCCTACCCTACTCTACTCTACTCTACTCTACTCTACTCTACTCTACTCTACTCTACTCTACTCTACCCTACCCTACTCTAATCTACTCTACTTTACTCTACTCTACTCTACTCTACTCTACCCTACTCTACTCTACTCTACTCTACGCTACCCTTCTCTACTCTACGCTACTCTAATCTACTCTACTCTACTCTACTCTACTCTACTCTGCTCTACCCTACTCTACTCTACTCTACTTTACCCTACTCTACCCTACTCTACTCTCCTCTCCTCTACTCTACCCTACTCTACTCTACTCTACTCTACTCTACCCTGACCTACTCTACTCTACGCTACCCTACTCTACTCTACTCTAATCTACTCTACTCTACTCTACTCTACTCTACCTACCCTACTCTACCCTACTCTACTCTACTCTACCCTACCCTACTCTACTCTACTCTACTCTACTCTACCCTACTCTATTCTACTCTACTGTACTCTACTCTCCTCTCCTCTCCTCTACTCTACCCTACTCTACTCTACTCTACTCTACTCTACTCTACTCTACCCTAACCTACTTTACCCTACTCTACTCTACTCTACCCTACCTTACCCTACCGTACTCTACTCTACTCTACTCTACTCTACTCTACCCTACCCTACCCTACTCTACTCTACCTTACTCTACTCTACTCTACCCTACCCTACCCTACTCTACTCTACCCTAGCCTACCCTACCCTACTCTACTCTACCCTAACCTACTCTACTCTACCCTACTCTACTCTACTCTACTCTACTCTACTCTACTCTACTCTACTCTACTCTACTCTACTCTACCTACTCTACCCTACCCTACTCTACTCTACTACTCTACTCTACCTACTCTACCCTACCCTACTCTACTCTCTACTCCTCTACTCTACTCTACCCTCTACTCTACTCTACTCTACTCTACTCTACTCTACTCTACTCTCTACCCTACTCTACTCTACTCTACCCTACCCTACTCTACTCTACTCTACTCTACTCTACCCTACTCTACTCTACTCTACTCTACTCTACTCTACTCTACTCTACTCTACTCTACCCTACTCTACTCTACTCTACTCTACTCTACCCTACTCTACTCTACTCTGCTCTCCTACCACTCTACTCTACTCTACTCCACTGTACTCTACTCTACTCTACCCTACCCTACTCTACTCTACTCTACTCTACTCTACTCTACTCTACCCTACCCTACTCTAATCTACTCTACTTTACTCTACTCTACTCTACTCTCTACCCTACTCTACTCTACTCTACTCTACTCTACGCTACCCTTCTCTACCCTACACTACTCTAATCTACTGTACTCTACTCTACCTACTCTACTCTACCCTACTCTACTCTACTCTACTCTACTCTACCCTACCCTACTCTACTCTACTCTCTCTACTCTACTCTACTCTACTCTACTCTACTCTACTCTACTCTACTCTACTCTACTCTACTCTCCTCTCCTCTACTCTACTCTACTCTACTCTACTCTACTCTACTCTACCCTACCCTACTCTACTCTACCCTACTCTAATCTACTCTACTCTACTCTAATCTACTCTACTCTACCCTACTCTACTCTACTCTACTCTACTCTACTCTACTCTACTCTACTCTACCCTACTCTACTCTACTCTACTCTACTCTACTCTACTCTACTCTACCCTACTCTACTCTACTCTACTCTACTCTACCCTACTCTACTCTACTCTGTCTCCTCCTACTCTACTCTACTCTACTCTACTGTACTCTACTCTACTCTACTCTACTCTACTCTACTCTACTCTACTCTACTCTACCCTACCCTACTCTAATCTACTCTACTCTACTCTACTCTACTCTACTCTACCTACTCTACTCTACTCTACTCTACTCTACTACTCTACTTACTCTACTCTACTCTACTCTATCTACTACTCTACTCTACTCTACTCTACTCTACCCTACTCTACTCTACCCTACCTACTCTACTCTACCTACTCTACTCTCTACTCTACTCTACTCTACTCTACCCTACTCTACTCTACTCTACTCTACTCTACTCTACTCTACTCTACTCTACTCTACTCTACTCTACTCTACTCTACCTCTACTCTACTCTACTCTACTCTACTCTACCCTACCCTACTCTACTCTGCTCTACTCTACTCTACTCTACTCTACTCTACTCTACTCTACTCTACTCTACTCTACCCTACTCTACTCTACTCTACTCTACTCTACTCTACTCTACTCTACTCTACTCTACTCTACCCTACTCTACCCTACTCTACTCTACTCTACTCTACTCTACTCTACTCTACTCTACTCTACTCTACTCTACTCTACTCTACCCTACCCTACTCTACTCTACTCTACTCTACTCTACTCTACTCTACTCTACTCTACTCTACCTACTCTACTCTACTCTACTCTACTCTACTCTACTCTACTCTACTACTCTACTCTACTCTACTCTACTCTACTCTACCTACTCTACTCTACCTACTCTACTCTACTCTACTCTACTCTACTCTACTCTACTCTACTCTACTCTACTCTACTCTACTCTACTCTACTCTACTCTACTCTACTCTACCCTACTCTACTCTACTCTACTCTACTCTACTCTACTCTACTCTACCCTACCCTACCTACCTCTACTCTACTCTACTCTACTCTACTCTACCTACCTACTCTACCCTACTCTACTCTACTCTACTCTACTCTACTCTACTCTACTCTACTCTACTCTACTCTACTCTACTCTACACTCTACTCTACTCTACTCTACTCTACTCTACCCTACTCTACTCTACTCTACTCTACTCTACTCTACTCTACTCTACTCTACTCTACTCTACTCTACTCTACTCTACTCTACTCTACTCTACTCTACTCTACTCTACTCTACTCTACTCTACCCTACCCTACTCTACTCTACTCTACTCTACTCTACTCTACTCTACTCTACTCTACTCTACTCTACTCTACTCTACTCTACTCTACTCTACCCTACTCTACTCTACTCTACTCTACTCCTAACTCTACTCTACTCTACTCTACTCTACCCTACTCTACTCTACTCTACTCTACTCTACTCTACTCTACTCTACTCTACTCTACTCTACTCTACTCTACTCTACTCTACTCTACTCTACCCTACTCTACTCTACTCTACTCTACTCTACTCTACTCTACTCTACTCTACTCTACTCTACCCTACTCTACTCTCTACTCTACTCTACTCTACTCTACTCTACTCTACTCTACTCTAACTCTACTCTACTCTACTCTACTCTACCCTACTCTACTCTACTCTACTCTACTCTACTCTACTCTACTCTACTCTACTCTACTCTACTCTACTCTACTCTACTCTCTCTACTCTACTCTACTCTACTCTACTCTACTCTACTCTACTCTACTCTACTTCTACCCTACTCTACTCTACTCTACCTACTCTACTCTACTCTACCCTACTCTACTCTACTCTACCTCTACCCTAACCTACTCTACTCTACTCTACTCTACTCTACCCTACCTCTACCCTACTCTACTCTACTCTACTCTACTCTACTCTACTCTACTCTACTCTACCCTACCCTACCCTACTCTACCTACTCTACTCTACCCTACTCTACTCTACCCTAACCCTACCCTACCTAACCCTACTCTACTCTACTCTTCTTCCTACCCTACTCTACTCCTACTCTACTCTACTCTACTCTACTCTACCCTACTCTACTCTACCCTACTCTACTCTACTCTACTCTACTCTACCCTACTCTACCCTACCCTACTCTACTCTACTCTACTCTACCCTACCTCTACTCTACTCTACTCTACTCTACTCTACTCTACTCTAACCCTACTCTACTCTACTCTACTCTACTCTACTCTACTCTAATCTACTCTACTCTACTCTACTCTACTCTACTCTACTCTACTCTACTCTACTCTACCTCTACCCTACCCTACTCTACTCTACTCTACTCTACTCTACTCTACCTACTCTACTCTACTCTACTCTACTCTACTCTACCCTACTCTACTCTACTGCTCTACTCTACTCTACTCTACTCTACTCTACTCTACTCTACTCTACTCTACTCTACTCCTACCCTACTCTACTCTCTACTCTACTCTACTCTACTCTACTCTACCCTACTCCTACTCTACTCTACTCTACTCTACTCTACTCTACCCTACTCTACCCTACTCTACTCTACTCTACTCTACTCTACTCTACTCTACTCTACTCTACTCTACTCTACTCTACTCTACTCTACTCTACTCTACCCTACACTACTCTACTCTACTCTACTCTACTCTACTCTACTCTACTCTACTCTACTCTACTCTACTCTACTCTACTCTACTCTATTCTACTCTACTCTACTCTACTCTACTCTACTCTACTCTACTCTACTCTACTCTACTCTACCCTACTCTACTCTACTCTACTCTACCCTACCCACTCTACTCTACTCTACTCTACTCTACTCTACTCTACCCTACTCTACTCTACCTCTACTCTACTCTACCCTACTCTACTCTACTCTACTCTACTCTACTCTACTCTACTCTACTCTACTCTACTCTACTCTACCCTACCCTACTCTACTCTACTCTACTCTACTCTACTACTACTCTACTCTACTCTACTCTACTCTACTCTACTCTACTCTACTCTACTCTACTCTACTCTACTCTACTCTACTCTACTCTACTCTACTCTACTCTACTCTACTCTACTCTACTCTACCCTACTCTACTCTACTCTACTCTACTCTACTCTACTCTACTCTACCCTACCCTACTCTACTCTACTCTACTCTACTCTACTCTACTCTACCCTACTCTACTCTACTCTACTCTACTCTACTCTACTCTACCCTACTCTACCCTACCTACTCTACTC